ACAGGGGCCTTAATAAGTACCAATCCTACTTTGGGGGCTCCTTATGATAATAGCTAGAGTATAGTAAGTACCAATCCTACTTGGGGGGGCTCCTTATGATAAGAACTATAGTATAATGGGCCCCAAAACCCTATTCTAAGTATTAAGGCCCCTATATTAGGCATACGCCTTGAAATCAACGTAGTGCTTGCATGGGGGATTCGCCCAGAGTGAATAGGCGAACGAGACCAAGATGTTGAAGTTCACATGCCAACAAGGGACTGAAATCCCAAGTGCTCAGGAACTATAATGAGAGATTATCCTCCCACTTAGAATAGGATGTGGGGACTTTATCCCAAGAACACATAGAATACATGTCGGGTATGGTTTGAAAAGTTGATGGAGGTAGACAGCCTGAACCCCAAAACTGGGTTCTTGTGAGGGAATTTAATTTCAGGTGCAATACCTCGATAAAGAAGACATAATTACTTACTATAGATCCGGTCCTATTACGGTAACTTTACACTAAACTCCTTAACGAAAACCCAGATCCTATTATGGTAACTTAGCACTACATTCCTTAACGAAAACCCAGAAAACTAGGACGCGAACGGCGACACTGCACGGCTGAGCCCGGCCGAGCGGGAGAAGCTGAAACAGCAGGCCAAAGCCGCCGTTTACGGGTTTAGGGCTTTAAGTGTTTAGGATTTGAGGGTCTAGGGGTTTAGGGGTTTAGGGTTTAGGGGTTTAAGTGTTTAGGATTTGAGGGTCTAAGGGCTTAGGGGTTTAGGGTTTAAGGGTTTGGGATTTAAGGGTTTAGTGGTGCAGTAGTACCTGAACCCTGCATCCTAGTCCCTGGTTGGGGGTTGAGGCCTACGTTTTGAGACACCGGATAGTGTTGAGGCTGCAGGTTGTAAGCACTAATCAGATTTTCTTCGGCGAAGTTGGTCGTCAAGGATTTTTGTGTCGGAGAGGCATTCCAGAATTCGCCACTTATGTAAACAAGCAAGTTCAGAGCATTAGACATTCCGCGACAGCTTGAGCATATTGGAAAATACCGGAATGGGCGGGGGCTGCAGTTTTGGAATGCCGACGTAGCTTCGAGCCGCAGACAAGGGAAAACTTAATCACTTCATCCTAAGTCCAGCGCTATAGTTCCAGTGAAGAGAGTTCCAAGTTGCTGGTATAATCCTCCAACTAGGGTTTAGGGTTGTTCCTGTTTGGTGTTCGTTGGCCGGTGGGCGTGCACCCGAAATCCATTACACCACTGAACTCCCAAGACATCGCAATCGAAGTTCCTTTCTCCAGCACTAGGGCCCTTGGGGCTTAGTAGAGGAATTTAAGCTTGGGGGCCCGCCCTAGATCCAAAAAAGGTGTAATCCCAATTGGCTCATATATACACCCACACATCTGTTCATTTGCTTAATCATGTGTTCAAGTGCATTTATATTCATATGTACGGCTTCATTTATATTTATATACAGTTATGTTTCTATTGCTATGTATCTTTGTATGTGTGCATATATATATATATATATAATGCATCTATTCTTTTTACTTGTTATTTGATTTAGGACTTTCCGACCACTAGTTCCACCAGGAGGAAGTGGACCGGCAGAAAAGGCTCACATCGAAGTCATTGGGGAATGGTGTTTAGGGTTTAGGGTTTTTCCTGTTCGGGTGCAGCTGTACTTGGAGGTTCATGGGTAGTTATAATGGTCCCCTTAAGAGTCCCTATAAAGGGATCTATAGGGACTCTATAAGGGTGAAGGCGTTTAGGGCTGCAGCTGTAGGGTTTAGTGTTCTGTGGGTTTCTCCAGTCTTGGGCCGGTCATGTCCATGAGATGGGTCTTAATGTAGAGGGCGGAGGGTTTGCACATACAGGATATGCATGTTCATATGTATGTATGTGTGTTCATATATGTGTATATATATATATATATATACATACGTAATATTTGTATACATACAGATGTGCACCTGCTTCTTTGACCCAGTTTGGCTGGGGCTTGGGTGTACTATTCAATACGCTGGGCTGAGGGGGAAATTGGCTGACGGCGAGGGCTGATTAGTGCTGAGGGTTGTAGCCCAAACCTTAAACCCTGAACCTCCTACCCGAAAATCCGACCCCCACTAAAGCCCAGCCCTAACCCGATTACACCTGCAGTTTCCATTGTAGTTTCTTTTTGGGTTACGGGATCCTAAAGATGAAGCTGGTTAAACCCAAAAAGGAAATACCATAAAGACCATACGTAATACAGGGGGCTCCTAATAATTTCCAATACTGTTGTGGGGGTACTCTAAATATTAAGGCCCCTCTATGAGGTATCATGGAGACTACAGGTAGGCTCCTAAGTCGCTTAATTAAATGTCAAGTCCTCCTTCTTGGGCTCTTTTCGTTCCTTTGGCTTGATGCCGCGGCCTTCAGTGCCGATTTTCTTAAAGTCTTTGTAGACTCCGGTAATTATAGGACCCGAGCCCCCTCCAAGCCAACAGCAGTAGGAAGAGGGGAAGTGGGCACCACTCCCTTAGCCCGGTTCCTCCGGGCTAGCCAGCCATGGCCTGGGACTGGCAATGGGAATGGGACTAAAGTCTTTGTGTGTCGGCATGCAGGGCGGAAACCGCGATGGGTGACTCCCAGCGGGAGCAAGCTCAGGTGGACGGGGCCACAGTCCCAATGGCGGGGCTGGCACATCGACAGCAAGAACCAGCAGTCGTTGTGGCACCACCCAGATGTGGGCTCGGTGCAGCCCCTATAACTGGGAATGGACCTGGCGCTGGACCTGGGTCGGAGATACTGACTTCGGGTACTGGAAGAGTACTACCGCTGCCCTTCCAAAAAGGACAGAGACCGCTTGAAAGCACTGGGTCTTTGGCCTCCTCAGAAAGGGGGCAAAGGGAAGCCAGCAGGGGCGCAACGAGAAGCCCGTGACCATGCGAGGCGACCGGAAACACCATCCCCACCTACAAACCGGGGGGTCGTGCTACGGGAGGCTCCTGCGGCCCCTTCCAGGCCACAGCAGGAGCGCCAAGGAGACAGTTCGCAGTCCTCCTCCCCCACACCCCTACTCCAAGGATTAAGGCCCCTACAGTACTCCGTGGGTTCTGCCACCGAAATGATTTACAGGGTGCCCATGGGAGCTTCTTCGGGCTTTAGGGTTTTCAGATCTGGGGTTCAGGTTTATAGGGTTTAGGGGGGTCTGGGGGGTGTTAGGGGTTTAGGGTTTATAGGGGTTTAGGGTTTTAGGGTTTATAGATTATAGGGGTTTAGGGGGGGGGGTTGGGTTTTTTAGGGCTTCAGGGGTTTAGGGTTTCGGGGTTTAGGGTTTCAGGGTTTCAGGGTTTTAGGGTTTAGGGTTTCGGGCTTCGGCAGTGCAGCTCACGCCTTTTTTTACGCTTTCGGTGTTCCACAGCTCGAGTCCGAAGCTTCTCCGTGGCGCCATCCGACACTCGCAGGATGTACTATATAGGGGACTTAAGAATTACCTGTACTACTTGGGGGGGTTAATTTCCGAAACCCCTAATTCCAATTATCAAGGCCCCTATACTAGGTTTTAGGGCTTAGGGTATACCTTAACCCCAACTAACGGGTAGTTAGTGGGAGAACTTGTAAAACTTTTTGGTTTGATAGTTGTGGTCTATCTTTAGAAATACTGAATTTCTTTGTTTCCGGTTATTGAAGACGAGAGCATACAGGGAAGTCATAATATGGAACCACGAAAGGTAGGATGGGGTTCCGGCAGGATTTAGGGATATCACATAGAGGCAGCTCCGCCGCAGTGTACTCTAGCTTTCCTTCGCCGTAGCGGTTTATGCCTTGGAGGTTGAGGCTGTCGGGTTTAGTTTAGCGTTTAGTTTAGGATAGCACACTCAAGCTTATCAACCACGGGTTGCACTTTGACTGGGGTAGCATGGGTAGCATGACGATGGGACGCAACGAAACCATGAAAGGATCCTGTACTAGGGTGTTGGGGGGTATGTTAAAACCCGAAGCCACCGCCCTGGCCAGGCAGCAGCAAGAAGACCAGCGCCGCATCGTGGAGCGGGAGCGGATGTTGGACCCCTTGGCTGCAGTTTCTGCTTCAGGGTATAACCGAGACACTGCATCGTACTTTTGTAAAACCCAGCACCCTTCAAGCCTCCAGCCCTAAGCGCAGTAATCGCAAATTGCTGTTTCGACTTGCGGGCCACATGTCGAGAGATGTTGTGGAGTCGCAGTAACGCAGGAGAGCGAATAATACCATAAGAGCGTTCATGTAAAACTCCCGTACCACTATGCTATGTACGCCAACACACCAGACCAAACCAGGCAAGACAAGACCAGAAACCCTAAACTCTGAATCCCAACTCAATCCTAAACCTTAGATATTAAACCGCAAACCTTACCCCCCCTATAGCTAGGCCTCCCAGTGGGAGCCCTCTTTATTCCTAGGCTAGTGGGCATGCTATAGTATATGACCGGTCAAGCCCTGCATTGTGGGCAGCTTTTATCAAGTGCTTCGGATAGGCTCAGCGTTCAATCAAAGGATTGGCGTTCAGGGTTATCGTTTTGGGGGTTATGGTAGGGTTTAGGACTCATAGGGTTTCGGGTTTCAGCATTTTTGGAATTAGGGTTACTGGGGGCTTCTGGCTGCAGGGTTTACATCAGGTTTAACTTGTAACTTGATCTTGAACTTCAATTCCCGTGGTGTTCACAAACATCACCAGGTCAGGGTAAACCCTAAACCCTAAGGCTCATACCGCTAAGCCCTGAGCTTTTAGCAATAAATTCAACCTAAACTTAGGGCTTAGGATGGCTTAGGGAAGAACGCTCACCTGTAACGGGTCTAACAGGTCCCTTTCAGCCGCGCATGAAAAGCCTTCGGAGTGGCTACCCCAAGCCATCGTGACCTGTGCGTCTACACGTCGGTACAGGGTTGAGAATTCAGGGTTGAGGTGTCAGGGTTTCGGGAGTAGGGTTATGCGGTGCATGTGAGTTTGTTTTTTGGGAGACCTTTTTTTGTTTTTGTGGGGCGTCATGAGCATGTTGCTCGCCAAGCTCAAGAGTACTTAGATCCAAAGATCCGCAACACCGCAAGCCCTCACACCTTACTACCCCGAAGCTCCCCGAATCCATTGTCACTAGCCGTAAGCATTACACTGCTTGACACTAACCCCGACCCTGTCGAACCGCTGTGAAGTCCTTGCAGAATCGTGTAAACGCTCTCGCAAGCCTCTTAAAGCCATCTTCCTAACCCTCAACCCTGGACCCTCAACCCTTAACATCAAACCCTGAACCCCTAAACCCTTGTCACAACCCTAAACCCCTGAACGCCCTGAACCCTTAACCCCAAACCCTCAACCCTAAACCCCCCACAAACCCTAAACCCCCAAACCACTAAACCCTAAACCCTCAACCCAAATCGCAGCGGCAGCTTAAGAAGCTGCTGAGTGCCATGGCCCAAGCAGCTCGCGTGGAGTTCTTGGCCGATGGCCCGAGGGCGGAATACCACGTGGATGCTGTCATCGAGGTTGGGCTCCGGGGGTTACTACAGGGGCCTAAACAAATACCTATACTATTTTGGAGGCTCCTTATTATTAAGGCCCCTATATTAGGGTTCCTTTTGAAGGGATCCTTAAACAGGCTTCTATATAAGGGTTACTATAAGGGGTACTATGGGGGCTTAATGTAGGCTAGGGGGGTTAGGGTTCCTTGTAAAGGTGGTCTATAAGGATTACTACAGAGGTTAATAAGTGGCCGGGGTTTAGGGTTTCAGGGTTTAGGGTTTAGGGGTTAGGGTTTAGGGTTTACAGAAGGGTGTAGTGGGGATTTGGAGTTCAGCTCTTAAGGCCGCGGGTTTGGGGTTCGCAGCCAAGTCTTCCAGGAGCTTCTCCTGCATTTTCAGGGCCCTAGGCTTTGGGAGGAATTTGGAGTCAGCATGGTCCTTGGCAGTTTGTGGGCCCTGAACCCTAAAGCTATGCCCTAAGCCCTTTCATGACAGGGGACCGGGTTCGTACCTTGTTGTGGAAATCGCCTTGACTGCTAGGCCAGGAAAAAACCCCGATTGTCATGGCTCCTGATCATGGTTTCCTTGTATAGCCGATATGATCTGAAGAGGCTACCCATAGGCCCCAGAGTAGTTCCTTTGGGATAACCTCATAGGGTTCTAAATATGAACCCCAAAAAGGAACTACTTTGGGGCCCTATGGTATAGTGTTGCTGAGGCTACGGCCAGGCCATAAAAATCAGCCACGACGTTTGCGAACTAAGGTTCACTCGACTGTCGGAGTTTAGAAGATGGTGGGAACCGTAGTGGCAATAGGCATGAATTCGACATGGTCGTCGGCTCTGTGATGAGTTGTAGTACCCAGAGAGCCCAATACCTTTTACTTAAGGAATTGACCTTAAACCAGAATATTAAGGCCAGGTTTATTCCTTCATAGAACCTTACAAAACCCGTAAAGAGGCTCTAAACCCTATAACTTCAGGTACTTTCCTTAATTAAGGGGCTCCTTCGCTGGGTAATCTTGGCCCCCTTTTAAACCCAAGGAGAGAGCCCGCTCAGGTGAGCCGTTGCCTGAATGGCGAGACGCTGACGCTGCGACCGGTCGGCCCTTTGAGCTACTTCCGGCCCTTCGGAGCGAAATAGTAGTAGGGAATGGGGGAATGGATCCGTATAGTAGTCCTATAATCCCCAATAGTACTTGGAGGGTCGGGGGACTGAGTAACTGGTTATTTTAGGGACTTATAAGTACCATAACCCCAATTAGGGTCTCTTTAAGGGCACTTGTATGTCTATGTACTACCTACTTACTAAGTCCCCGGACCCTCCAAGTAGGGACCAGAGTAGGGAATGGGGGAATGGACCCTCTAGTAGTCCCTGTATTACTATATAATCCCCAATAGCAGTCTCCATAATCCATTCCCCCATTCCCTACTAAGAACCAGACAGGAGGTTCATGGGTAGTTATACGTGGGGTTATATGTCCTCTAGGATGGACCTTCGGAGCTAAAGTTGTGTGTTCCTGTGGTAGGTGGCATTGTAGAAGGTAAGAAGCGGATGACAAGGGTTGTATATGGGCTAGGACCTAGAGTAGGCCCTTATTCCCTTTTTTAGGGTTCAGGTTCCCTTATAAGCCCTTTTAAACCAAAAAGGGCACCCTTTTTATTCCTAGGTTACTCTTGGGTCTAGTGGGATTGGTTAGAGCCTTTAGGCAGCCATGGTTTGACCTCCCTGAACCATCGAATCCTGAGCCCCCAAAGCGTCCTGGGCCTGGAATACACGGTCTGGGGTTTAGGGCTTTGGGCTTATAGGGTTTATAGGGCGTATGGCGCTTGCAGGGCTTATAGGGCTTGTAGGGTTTATAGGGCTTATATGGATTATAGGGTTTAGGGCTTATAGGGTTTAAGATTCAAGGTGAGGTCGCGTTGAAATTCAGAGGATCTCTATGGGCGGCCTTACAGTGGGGATTCCGCCGCTTGGGGTCGATAGTTGTGGGAGCTCCCGTAACACAATGCTACACACTAGGGAACTCCTAATGGTCTAATGTCAAGCAACCTCCGTTTACTTGGAGGGGCCCTAATTGGGGTTATGGTACTTATAAGTCCTTAAAATAACCAGTTACTAAGTCCCCCGACCCTCCAAGCAAGGTCATGGCACATGTTCTGAAACTTCTGAGAAGCGTCCGAAATAAGGTTCTTGCTCAGTCTCTACCAGACGGCGACAGACTTTGAGGCGGGTGGTTGTGTCGGGGTTTAGGGTGTCCTTTAAGAATTTCTGCACGCCCTTGACCGTAAAGTTCAGGCTTGAGGGGTTTAGCTTTCCGACTAGGGTTTAGGTTTATTGGAGACCTCGAGGCCTTTCCAGAAGGGATTTTCTGAAGGAAGCCTTCAAGCACTTTCAAATTCTTAGAGCGATACCTACCGGTAGTGGCACTTGTTGTGTAATCAAGGGATAGCCAGGGCTAGCTTTGACTTGACTTCAGCTTATATAAGGCAGTGCTTCACCGCCACGGGGATCCGGAAAAGTGAATCCTAGCTTAGAGCGACCCTGATTTGAGGATTGCGGTTCAGTCTTTAGGGGTGTGCTGCCGGCTCAAGGTGGATGAGCCCCAGCGCTTAATCAGGGGCGAAAAATGTCCCAGCGTGTAGCGAATATTTCCACTTCATATTTGAGAACAGAGCGCTTCGTTGCTGCCTTGGACTGCTCACTTCACACTGATTACGAGTGTTTGTGCGCAGAATCTGAGTCATGAGTGATCTAGGTGTTTGTCATACCGAGTCTTTCATATACATGGTTATAAGAGCAACGCAGCTGCTTCTAAATGGCACCGGGTTTCCTAGCTAAGCTTTCGGGTGCGGACTTGTGGTTGGCTAATGATTTGAGGCTCACAGTCTCGGGGTCCAGGCATTGACGGTTGCGGGGTTCAGGTCGAAGCTCGGACGCTCAGAGGCTTCTGCTCACTTTTCGACATAAAGGTCGCAGTCTCGGTTCGGAGAGTGCTAAAAGTCGTAAATCCTAAACCCCTGAACCCTTAACCTCTTTAAACCCTAATCCCTGGACCCCGAAGCTCGCAAATCTGAACTCCGATCGCTAGAGCTGAAAGCACAACCCTTGTTGAACAGTTGAACGCTCGTAGGAATTGTGTTTCGTTTTTGTGACTACGTACAAGACTCCGAAGGGGTTGTTAAGCACATTACTTACTTTCTCTACTATGGCTCTATTGGCTCTTAAGCCTCGGCCTTATCATTCTTACATCCTGCACGATTGAAACCTCAACTTGCTGGTGCGGGAGGAAGAGGGGAGGAAGGAGTATAGTGACTGCTATTAGGGAAAGCCTCACTCCTAAACGCATAATCTTTAACAGCGCGAGCCCGTACACCCTAAGCCAGAAGCCCGAACTTCTAAACACCAGAACTATGAGAACCCTTAAAGGTTTGGAGTTTCCGCCTGAATAAATGTTCGTAGACCCTCGAACCCGGGTCTCTGAGGTGGTGCTCGTCTCTCACTTCGAGCTACTTCCTCCGCCAGCGTTGGCGGATGAGGCACGGGAAGCCCCGACCGACCGTGTCCGATTTCGGGCTGCAGGGTTGTTGTATACCCCGAAACCCCTAAGCCCTCAACCCTAAACCCCTGAACCCTATAAACCCTAAACCCCTCTGTTTTGTGCAAGCCCAAAGTGGGCAGGGAGTTGGCAGTGCGAAAATCCCAATGCACCCTTAAAAAAATCCCTAAACCCCTCAACCCTAAACCCTAAACCTTAACCCCTAAACCCTAAACTAAACTAAGCCCTAAACCTGTAAGGTTGTAGGGGTTAGTTACTGGGTTTGGGGTTGAGGACCTTGGGGCTGGGCTTTTCGCAGTCTTAATTGAATCTCGGATATGGGTGGTTGTCAAAATTATGGCGCCTTTTAAGGTACCCTACATATTAGGTGCCGTACTATATTAAGTACCCAAAAAGGGACCATAATTTTGACAACCACCCATATGTCCAATATATAGGGGCCTTTATAGAACAGGGTTTTGGGGCACAAAATACTATAATTGTAATAAGGAACCCCAAAACTAGGTAATTATTTAGGCCCCTATAGTAGATGGGCTTTGTGTTCAGCATCATTCGGAACCTAGTTGAAGTCGGAAGTAATTCAACTCTCGACTCCCGAAGCTGAAGTAACCTTGAATTCGTCAAGGTTTTGTGGTTTAGTGGTTTAGGGTTTAGTGGTTTCGGGTTTAGGGTGTAGGGTTTCGGGGTTTAGGGCTTAGGGTTGGTAGGGCGTTTGGCTTATGGCTTCAGTTAATGTAGGAACCTGATTAAAAAACCCTGGGCCTTTATCAGGGTTCCTTCTAGTCGGATCTATACCGGGTACTATAATGGATTTACAAGGGTACTAGTAACGTAGTAACCTGAGTAAGAAAGTTTGGGTCTTTATTAGGGCTCCTTATTTGAATCCTAGTATTTTGGGGTTATAGGCCCAAGGTTTCTTAATCAGGTTCCTACATTAGGGCGTTCGGTTTTTGGCTTCGGGCTCTCTAGGCGGGTGGTTCATGGGTAGATATTTGTAAGTCAAGTCATATGTGGGGTCTTAAGTCCCCTAATATGGCGTATACTTAGTTAGCCTACTTCTAACCACTGAAACCTATGAACCTCCGAGTAGACCCTAAACCACCTAAACCCTAAACCGCAAAGGGGACCTATAACTACCCATGGGCCCATGAACCTCCACTTGAGCCCTAAATCCTAAATCCCCAAACGGAACACTTGAAGGAACCCTTAAAGGAAGCATTACAAGCGCCCTTAAAGGAACCCTCCAAGTCTCGCAGGTGTGAGAACGCCCCGCGGTCTTGGTATCCTAGCTCGAAGGCCAAAGCCCTGAGCCCCGAATCTAAACTTCCGAAGCCTGAATCTTGAAAGTTTACCACCGTAAACCCTAAAGCCTGTTAAAGCTTATAAACCCTTAAACCCTAAACCCTGAAAGGCCTGAACCCCCAAGCCCGTTTTCGTTTGAAAGAGACCCAGTCTAAAGCTGGTTTTAGGATTTGTCAACTGTAGTAACTAAAGGGTCTCTTCTCAACTTTTGCAAGGGTCTCTTCTCAAATATGGGGTCTATTCTCATAAGAGGGCGGCCACGCTAATCCCTAAACCCCCAGAGACCATCTTGCGTTTGCTGTATAGAACCCTTAAAGGAACCCTATAATCCCACTTATAAACCCTTAAAGGGACCCTATAACCCCACTTATAACTACCTATGAACCTCCAAGTAGAGGGCGGCCATCTTGCTATCGGCAGGCCTGGGCTTGCATGGACGTGGAGTGGGAGTTCACTCTCTTCAACTGGAAGTCCGCCCCTTCGGCGTGCATTGGGAGAACCCAGCGACTGCCATACCCCCCTTTAATTAAGGAGCATCTATAGGGCTCCTTTAAGGGATCTATAAGGGATCCAGAGGGTTTAGGATTTAGGGGGACTCCAAAACCCCTTAAGTCAGGAATGGACCTTAAATCGAATTAGAGTCCCTCTGATAATTTCAGCTCTACTCTGTAATTAAGGTTTATTGGAGCCTCAAAGGAACTTGTGGCGGTGGGGCTGTGGATTTGGAGCCTCAGGGTCCGCGTATTCGAGGGATCTGAACAATCGAAAGTCCCCTTATTCAAGTGGTCTAAGATCCCCTTATCGTGCCTATATGGGTAGTTGTCAAAATTAGGGTCCCTTTTTGGGTGCCCGCCGTATTATATTAGGCACCCCAAAAAGGGACCCTAATTTTGACAACCACGCATATAGTTAGAGTAAAGACTATCGCAAAACCCGGTTCTGAACATGAAGGCCCCGAAAGAGCTTGCTCTGCAGAGCCCCACGACCGGGCCATTGTGAACTCCAATCCCTAGAGGTGCACGTACCTACTCGGAAGATCATTGGACTTCGCAAGAATTCTATAGTACTAAGCGTTTCGATGAGAGTTCCTTAACGGGCACCTTAGGGTTTAGACCCTACTTGGAGGATCTATGATTCTTCATGAGGCTGCTTTTGCTTGGATTCGGCGAATCGGTCTGTCACCTTGAAAGGTGTTGCATATCTGCACCCGCTGCACTGATGCTCTGCCTGTCTGAGATGCTCTTGCCGGTGCTTGATATCATAGTATAGGAGCCTAAAAAATCATTCAATACGATTTCGGTGCTTCCTTATTATAGCTATGGGTATTATGGGCCCCCAAAACCCTATTCTAGTTATTCATGCCCCCATATTGGGTGACCTGACCGGCATGCAGCACTAAAGCCACAGGCCCGCAACCTCGAAGCCTCAAACCTGGGTGTTGAAGAAACCATAAAGCGCCGACCCTTAACGCCAAAACCAAAACACAAAAACACATTTAAAGCTCTGAGAACATAAAGCGACGACCCTAAACCCCAATTCCTAAACCCTAAAACCAAATTTGAAGTTCCGAAAACATAAAACGACGACCCTAAACCCCAATTCCTAAACTCTAAAACCAAATTTACAGCTCTGAAAACATAAAACGACGACCCTAAACCCCAATTCCTAAACCCTAAGACCAAATTTAAAGCTCTGAAACCATGAAACGACAACCTTAAACCCCACTTCCTAGACACTATGGTTGGCAGAACCCAGAGCTCTAAACACCGAACCGTTCAAGAGGTCTTGTGCGGCGTCTCGCATTCTGTCTCGGGGAAGCAGACCTTCTCCTCCCATGTGACTCGGTTTTAACATGGCTAGTGTATAGCTTTCCTATAAGCTGAAACCTTTCGCACAATGGTAGAACGGTCAGGGTTCCTGCAATGGTTCCTACCACCGTTACAGCAGGATTTGGGGGTTTGTTGTGGACGCACATGTGCAGCATGTTTCGGTAATGGAGGGGCCAGAGAGGCAAGGTGGCTCTAGAACCTAAACCCTAAACCTGAAATCCGGAACCCTGAACTGAACTGGCCTTCCAAGATGTGCGATCTGTAGTTGGTCTAAGTTGGACTGCTGGAGCCTCTTGCCGGGGCCCTACACCCTAAACCCTGAACTTCGATTTAGGGCTGTTGGGCTTAACTAGGGGGCTTCAGGGTTGTCTGGGCCGTAATCAAACCACAAGCCATGTAAACTTAGTGGAGACTCTCGCCTAGAGGCTCTAATACTCCTTAATTAAGGAGCATACCTTGAATTACAATACGATCCCTAATACGCTTTAAAACTTGTTCCTCAATGAAGGGGGGTATTGGAGTCTCCACCCAAACCCTAAACCCCAAACCCTGAAGCCTAAATCCTAAACACTACATCGTAAACCCTACACCCTACATCCTAAACCCTAAATCCTAAACCCTAGTCTCCGGGTGCTGACTGGGAGTCGTTTGTTGCTCGCACCCTTCGCAGATGTATCCCTTCCCTTTCATGGGCTCATGGCTTCATCGAACCTGAAGCAAGCCCTAACCCCTAAACCCCGGAACTGAAACCGCCGAAACCCTAAACCCCCTAACCCCACACCCTAAACCCGTAAACCACTAGTCACTAGTTTTTTCGAGCGAAGCGATTAGAACGGGAGCTAAGCACCCACCGTCAAACCACGATGACAAGGAAAGGGTTGATCCGCTCCATCCCTTCATCGTCATGGACCAGGAGGTCTCCAGCAGACTGAACATCGGTTTAGGGCTTAGGGGTTTCTATAGGCGCCGATGTTATTCACCCATACTTTTGCGGGGGGTTCCTCATTGTAAGTATCGTATCGTCTACCCCAAAACCCTATTCTAATTATTAAGGCCCCTATGGTAGGGGTTTCTGGTTTAGGGTGGTCCACAAGACTTCGGCAAGAGGTCGCCGGGCTGTGCCGGGGTGCGGAGTTGAACGTGTGTAGGTTTTGAGCCTTTGTGTGGCGGGGGGGGGGGGGGGGGGGGGGGGGGGGGGGCGAGTCGATAGTTTTACTGGTAAGGATTTACTGGGTAGGCCTTCAGGTTATTCGAATGCTTTCCGTATTGGGTCTTTAAGGACGCTATATAACTAATATTTTTCACAGGGCTCTAAAGGCCAGCCCAGTTTAGCGATCTCGTGACTGTAGGGAATAAGTCTTCAATATGGTGGTTTAACTCGCTTAAAAGTCAGTATTGTAATTGTAGCTGCAAATACGGTTGATGATATAAATCCTGCATTACCCATAATAAGGAATATACCATAATTCCCATAGTTTAGGGTCCTTAGTGTAATGCAGGATTTAAATCACCAACAGTAGTTAACTCCTAGAACAGGTTTGGATACGAGAGCCTGGGCCGTGAGCTCAAGAGCGCACAACTCCCAAACGTAACCCAGGGCTCCAGTTACCTAAATAGTAGGTTACTAACACTATTCAGGTTACTGGAGCCTTAGGGTGAGCTGGCACCCTGTTCGGATGCACGCGCTGAAGCCTGGACCGTAGTCAGACGAACAGACCTACCAAAATCGGTCCGACCCCGATTACCGTAAGCTTCTAAAGCCTGAGTCCACAGTCTCTGCACACATACCTGGCGATGCATCCAATGCTTCATAACATGCTTTTACCCTCTCGTCTTTTCAAGCTTTAAACAGTCCACAGGTTTTGGATTCAGGTTGCCGGCCGCAATGTAGGGGTCAGAACAATTACCATACAAGTACAATACTGTTCCTTGTATGGTCCCCGTAAAATTACGCTAGGATATGTCCCGAAACCATGTTCTGCTGTTGAAGGTCCCCAGAGACTCCAATACCCCTTAATTCATGAGCAAACATCAAATTACAACAAGATCCCTTGAAATGATTAATTAAGAGGTAATTATTGGAGTCTCTGGGCCTCTGTATTACCAGCCGTCTCTTACTTGCTAAGGCTAGGACCCCCTGAATCTACCCAGAAGATTCCTGGACCCCAAGCACACGACTTGGGGCTAAAGGCTTCGGGCTTACTCCTAAGCTTCCCGCCCTGGATCCCTAAACTTGAAAACCAGAATCCTAAACTAGGATATGTTTATTTTCGTTCATATAAAACCCAAGAGAGTACTACATAGATTATTTTTAGTATGGTTCGAAAGGGGGGGTATAGTAAACCCGAAACCCCAAAAGCCCCTGATGTCGCTCAAGCCGGAGCAGGATCTCACGCGAGAGAGGGGATGGCTGAACGAGAAGGACAGAGTTCTTGGAGGGTCGAGGGACTTAATAACTCTTTATTTTAGGGACGTATGAGTACCATAACCCCAACTAGGGTCCCTTTTGGGGTACTTATAAGTCTACTTACTACCTACTTACCAAGTCCCCCGACCCTCCACGTTGCGCATCTCCCACGACCCCCCTAGCAGGTGTAGGAATTTGGGATTTTAGGATTGGGGTTTCTTCCGGATGTATACAAGGTGAACGGAACATCGCGAGGCCTGCTGTGAGCTTGGCTTCCTACTTGCAATGCTAAGCATAACCCAATCATTGCCGACACAATCATGACGATGATGATGAGCATCTCCACTACAAGCGTCGCCACCGGAACCCACAAGCTCCACCGCCGTCACTGGCAGCAGAGGCAGCACCAGCAGCATGACCATACGATGTTACGCTTTTCTCGTTTCCGCCATCACCATCACCACTGTCATCACTATCGTCGTCATCACAAGCCCATGCTTACGGTTACCATCAGCATCTCGCTCGTCGCCGTCGTGGTTGGTGGTTCGAGGCATTGGTTCCACAGGTTCCAGTTTACGATAGGAAGCAGATCCTCTCAATAGAGCAGCCGGCAGCCAAGTCGGGCCCAAAACCGGAGGCCTAAGTACCCTAAACCCTAAACCCTCAACTACTAATGCGTAAGGAGACATGAAACTCCGAGTTCGATAGTTCTGCATAACCTGGTATTCGCTGCTGCAGCCTCAGGGGGGTGACTACCAACCCCCCGCCCTCCCCTCAGCAATGGGGGCCGACGTACCACCACGCCCCCCCCCCAGTAGTGAAAGTAGTTGTAATAGTAGTAGTAGTAGTAGTAGTAGTAGTAGTAGTAGTAGTAGTAGTAGTAGTAGTAGTAGTAGTAGTAGTCCTAGTAGTAGTAGTAGTAGTAGCAGCAGTAGTAGTAGTAGTAGTAGTAGTAGTAGCAGTGTACAAGTACTAGTAGTCGCAGTTTCAGTCCATCGTGGTCGTGGTACGTAGTGGCAGCTGGTTTGGGGTGGTGTACCGGGTAGCAGCAGCTGGGTGGTGTGTGGCGGGGGGGGGGGGGGGGGGGGTGGTCACCGCTCCAACTTTGGCACAGCATGCGCTCGGCGAAAATTTCAGCGTCTATTTGACGTGTCTTTCGTGCAAATGTCCTACGCTTTTGCAAGCAAAGGCATGTCAAATAGCCTGCAAGTGTCCATCACACGGGTGGTCACCCCCCCAAGGCTTCATGCGACCGCCACTAAATTGAGAACTCTTGTACTTCTTGAATCTGAACCCTAAAGTCAGTCTAGCCTAAGTGCCATGTTTTAGGAGCATCAAGCCCGGTTTTGAACACCTTACAATACTTGCAGGGGTTTATAAGTAGGGTAACTATACTTATAGTAGGGGACGTATTATAACTTGCTACCCATGAACCTCCAAGTAGAAGGTTGAATTATTCATGCTAGAATTTTCAGTACGCCAAAACACTGTTTAGCACATTCAGGCCCCTCTATTAGACCCGGAACCAACAGCCTCGAAATAAGTTTCGGGTAGAAACTACTCAACAGGATCCTCCCACACTGCACTAACAGCCGTAAACCCCGAAGTCAAGAGATGCTTTGCGGATCTTCGACCTCCATTTCACTGCAGCCGAAATATGGTTCGTTTCAAGAGATACTTCAAGGGCTCTATAGTGGCTATGTACTGTAATTGTTGAAGGAGCCTTCAGTAGAATCGGGGGTTGGGATTCATTCTAGTATTGATATGGGGGCTGTAAGGGGATGGTTTTGCTCATTATTCCGACCTCCATATTACCATCTTCGCCAATCTGGCCAGCGCTCACACACTTTCCGCCCTAAGGACCCTTTTGCCCGGTGCCTCCCTCAGCACCCCGTGCAGACTTGCCGACAGGATCAGATAAGACTGCGGGGCGCTGTGAAACTTCCCCTGCCTCTGGCCTTGGGCTTGGAGCTTCAGACGTGTATGTTTGCGATTGGAGGGGAGTTTGGGGTGTGCGGCCGGGTCAAAGATGGAAGATTGAGCTGCGTATGCTTCTCATCTTGCGGTGAAGACTACTGTGAGGTCTGTAAATACATATACAAGCCTAGATAATTACCAATATTACTCCTTCGGGTTCCTTACTATATTTTTCCATACAAGGCCCCAAACCCTATTCGAATTATGAAGGCCCCTACATCAGGGTACGAGAATCGGGCTTCGATGGCCTCTTGGTCTTTCTTGGCTTCTTTGCCTGGCCTCTAAAATAGTTGGGTGATGCTCCGTGACCCTTCGGCTCCAAAACCTCCGCCCTAGCAACTTCGAGCACGCTTTAGTGAAATCCGTTCGTGCAGGCTGTTTACAGCTCACTGCACATGTGTACAAATCACGCATGTGGTAAGATGATTTGCTCTCAACTCTAACAGCAGCAGTTTCCTGCGGTTGGCGTTTGAAGTCTCAACTTATGTAGTGGAAGCAATGTGGTGGTGCTGATAGGGCGATGCGTTCCAGAAATCATTGACGCCTGTATTGCGTGAAAACACAAGACCGAACTCTGTTCCAATTGGCAGCCGTGATCTTAACATGGAAGCCCGAGGTGGGCATGGCCCCAAAACACCATGCCGTCAATTGCCAAATGCAAGCGTAACAGCGCCCGCATGCCGCATTTGTGGAGCTTCCATGCTATTGCAGGTGCAGACCTTTGTTGTTTTCGTGTTTCGCTTCCAAAAGAGTCTGCGGGTGCGAAGTTGGTTGAATTTCTGGAGCCGACCACCAAAGACGTCGGTCTGACAAGAGGACAGTCAAGCACCGCAGCCGTCGAACAGTCCTGTGAATTTAGGTGCCGTCTTTGTGGCTGATTTGAAACATGAATTTCAATCTGGATTGTTTACAGATTGTAACTTAGAGCATAAATCCACGCATGATCTGTCGCATGCAGTGGGAGCTGTCATGTACAGAAGCCCTGACTAAGTGGGCGGTTGGGCTTGCGCAGATCATCGGGGAGTGGCTGTTTTTCTGCTCGAACTTTCACCTTTGTCGTTTCGTGGAAAGGATGCAGGTTCACACATGAAGTTCGACGGTTCGGACGGAACGGTTTTATTGAGATTTGTCAGGTACCTGCAAAGCATAATTGCACATCTCCGCCAGTTTTCTTCGATGTTAAGCACCACCACTCATGGATTTTAAGTCTGAGGTCCACGTATACGCCTCACAGCGCTATCCAGCAGGTATGATGTTAAGAACTTGTGGTGAAATTAACCGGCGCAGAGCTTGTGCACAACCATGACAGCGTATGGCCAACATTTTCTCTTGCAGAGGAATCAGCGAGCAGCATGTTCACTTCATCGTTTTCGGAATTCATCTGACCCACACTTGGCCCACGGCCATGTAAACCTTGGAATGTGCGAAAGCTTGCTATATGCACCGGAGGCTGTTTGCATTGGTGTAAGGGTTTCGGGATTAGGGCTTAGGGGTCCAGAGTCGCAGATTGCGAATCCCGAAGATGTTGAAGCCTGACGTGCCAACAATAGGGATAGGGGTTTAAAAAAAATGAAATAAGGATCAAAAAAATTAAATAAGGATCAAAAAAAATTAAAGCACCGAAACGAAACAACAGAAAGGGCAGGAAGGCAGGAAGGAAGCAGGGCCGCCCCGCAAGCAAGCAAGCAAGAGAGAGAGAGAGAGAGCCGCGGGGCGCTCATCCGCCCCTACACCCGGCAGAGAGTGAGAGAGAGAGAGAGAAAGAAAAAAAGAAAGGAAGACAGAAAGAAAGAAAGAACGAAAGAGAGAACGAAATAACGAAAGAAAAAACGAAAGAAAGAACGCACGAATTTTTTAGAACGAAAGTAATAACAAAAGAAAGAAAGCAAGAACGAACGAAAGGAAGGAAGGAAGGGAGTATGAAATGAACAAAGAAAGAACCGCAGAAAGAAAGAAAAGGAATGAACGAACGAAATAAGGAAAAAAGCCCAGAAGAAACAAGCAAAATTGGAAAACGATGCAAGAGAAAGAACATGAAAGCATCACAAAAAGAAAGATACAAGCAATAGGATACTACATAGTCGAATCGAATATACCATCATGTAGTAATATACCATAACATAAAAAATACCATAATGTAACCTAATGTTATATACTATACTAAAAACTTTGTTGTACATATACACACTATATTGTACTATGTTACAATGTACTACACTATAAACTAAGATGTTGTTTTGTTCTATGTTATGTTCTGTCATATTGTATTTTTAATGTTATTATATGCTCTAAGAAGCAATACTATGTTATGTCAGAAGATGTCACGCTCTTTCCATCATATGTCGTTCTTATGGTTTACTGTGTTATATTATGTTAGAGTACTAACGGAAGAAGAGACACGAACAGGCACGGAAAACCGAAAGACGCGCCGCCGCGCTTTTCGAGCCGTGCAAGCTGATTCAAAGAGTGTTTTGCGAAGCCCATCATGCGAGTGTTGTGTCTGCAAATGGGGGGGGGGCTGCGCCCCCCCCCCCCCCCCCCCCCAAATCCCCCCGCTGTTTTAAGCCGTGCAACCAAAATCGCCAAATGTTGGAGCGTGTTTAAGATATATTATGAACAGGAAACGCCAAATGAGAAGGCGTGTTCTAGACATATGAGGGACCACTGCTACTACTACTACTACTACTATACTACTACTATACTGCTACTACTACTACTACTACTACTACTACTAGGCCTTCCCCCCCTGGTGCGACGCCGGTCGCTGAGTTCGTGGATGTACAACATGTTCATGGATGCTCTCCAAACCCAAATGCGCTAGACCATGAACGTCATTAGGTTTTGGACATGGATGCTCTCCAAACCAAAATGCGCTAGACCATGGACGTCATTAGGTTTTGGACATGGATGCTCTCCAAACCAAAATGCGCTAGACCATGGACGTCATTAGGTTTTGGACATGGATGCTCTCCAAACCCAAATGCGCTAGACCATGGACGTCATTAGGTTTTGGACATGGATGCTCTCCAAACCCAAATGCGCTAGACCATGGACGTCGTTAGGTTTTGGACATGGATGCTCTCCAAACCCAAATGCGCTAGACCATGGACGTCATTAGGTTTTGGACATGGATGCTCTCCAAACCAAAATGCGCTAGACCATGGACGTCATTAGGTTTGGACATGGATGCTCTCCAAACCCAAGTGCGCTAGACCATGGACGTCATTAGGTTTTGGACATGGATGCTCTCCAAACCAAAATGCGCTAGACCATGGACGTCATTAGGTTTTGGACAAGGATGCTCTCCAAACCAAAATGCGCTAGACCATGGACGTCATTAGGTTTTGGACATGGATGCTCTCCAAACCAAAATGCGCTAGACCATGGACGTCATTAGGTTTTGGACATGGATGCTCTCCAAACCCAAATGCGCTAGACCATGGACGTCATTAAGGTTTTGGACATGGATGCTCTCCAAACCCAAGTGCGCCAGACCATGGACGTCATCAGGTTTTGGACATGGATGCTCTCCAAACCAACGATTTGAATGAAAATCATGATCAAAATGAGGCCCAAAAAACCTTGATTCTGATCGCTAGGTTTTGGGCACGAAAATCGAGACACCCAAAAACAGTAAAAAAATCATGAAATTCACAAAGACAAGTGCTGTAAATACCAGCATTTTCGGGTGCGAGATTGATGAACAATGTTAGAAAATATGATAACTAGAAGACAATTGGCCCGAAAGCATCATCAGCGAAGAGTGTTACGCTACGTCATAGAATCCAGTGTATAGGGTCATAGAGTCACCGAGTCAAAAGCACGGAGTCACAGAGTCGGAGTGTCACATACAGTCAAGAGTCGTACAAGTCATAGTTCATAGAGTCATCGAGAAATAGAGTCGAGTACATGTCAAGCACAAGTCATAGTTCAAAGAGTCATAGAGTCATATAGAGTCATAGAGTCACAGTGAGACAGAATCATAGAGTCATAGTGTTATAGAGTCATAGCGTCAGAGTGAGAAAGAGTCATAGAGTCATGGAGTCATCTATGTACCACGCACTTGACTTGATGTAGTTCACTCTATGAACACTAATGTTCAGGTTTAGCGGGTTTAGGGTATAGTCCAACATGACGCAGAAGTCTTCCTTTCCTAGCTCCGGAACCTCACTATATAGACATCCCTGATTACTGTGGTTTCAACGTGACTCTATGACTCTATGCATGGTCACTTTATGTCGCAGCAGTAGTAGTAGTAGTAGTAGTAGTAGCAGTAGCAGTAGTAGTACTAGCAGTACCAGTACTAGTAGTAGTGATAGTAGTGGTAGTCGTAGTAGTTGTAGTAGTAGTCGTCGTCGCGTAGTCGCAGTCGTGGTCGTAGTAGTAGTAGTAGTTGTTGTTGTAGTTGTAGTTGTTGTTGTGGTACTAGTAGTAGTAGTAGTAGTAGTAGTAGTAGTAGTAGCAGTAGTAGCAGTAGCAGTAGTAGTGGTAGTAGTAGTGGTAGTAGTAGTAGTAGTAGTAGTAGTAGTACTAGTAGTAATAGCAGTAGTAGTAGTAGTAGTAGTAGTAGTAGTCTTTTGTAGTAGTGGTAGTAGTAGCAGTAGTAGTAGTAATAATAGTTGTAGTAGTGGTAGTGGTAGTAGTAGTACTAGTACTAGTTCGAACACTCGACAACGCCAATTTCTGTGAAGGGTTGCAAGTTTCACCTCAATGCACATCAAAAGTAATAACTTTACCTCGCGTTCGAACACTCGACAACGCCAATCTGTGTGAAGGGTTGCAAAATTCATCTCAATGCACATCAAAAATTGCAACTTTACCTCGCGTTCGAACACTCGACCACGCCAATCCCTGTGAAGGGTTGCAAAATTCATTTCAATGCACATCAAAAATTGCAACTTTGCCTCGCGTTCGAACACTCGACCACGCCAATCCCTGTGAAGGGTTGCAAAATTCATCTCAATGCACATAAAAAATTGCAACTTTACCTCGCGTTCGAACACTCGACCACGCCAATCCCTGTGAAGGGTTGCAAAATTCATTTCAATGCACATCAAAAAATGCAACTTTACCTAGCGTTCGTGCATTCGACCATGCCAATCCCTGTGAAGGGTTGCAAAATGCAAATCCCTGTGAAGGGTTGCAAAAAAAATTGAACTGCACCCAAACCCTGTGAAGGGTTGCGCGGCGCCCGCAAGAAGTGTAACTTTACCTCGCGTTTGAACGCCCGAGGAGGCGAATCCCTGTGAAGGGTTGCGCGGCGCCCGCAAGAAGTGTAACTTTACCTCGCGTTTGAACGCCCGAGGAGGCGAATCCCTGGGAAGGGTTGCGCGGGAACCCTAAAATGTGTAACTTTACCTCGCGTTTGAACGCCCGAGAGTTCCAATCCCTGGGAAGGGTTGCGCGGGCGCCTAAAATGTGTCACTTTACCTAGCGTTTGAACGCCCGAGGCAGCGAATCCCTGGGAAGGGTTGCGCGGTGCGCCTAAAATGTGTCACTTTACCTAGCGTTTGAACGCCCGAGGCAGCGAATCCCTGGGAAGGGTTGCGCGGTGCGCCTAAAATGTGTCACTTTACCTAGCGTTTGAACGCCCGAGGCAGCGAATCCCTGGGAAGGGTTGCGCCGGGCGCCTAAAATGTGTAACTTTACCTAGCGTTTGGGCGCTCGAGGAGGCGAATCCCTGGGAAGGGTTGCGCGGGCGCCTAAAATGTGTAACTTTACCTAGCGTTTGGGCGCTCGAGGAGGCGAATCCTTGGGAAGGGTTGCATTCCCGATGGACGACGACGGTGCCACCCCTGGCTTTAGAAGAGAGATTTAGATACCGAGATGTAGAGAGTATGTAGAGAGGTAGAGAGTAAGTCAGAGAGTAAGTCAGAGAGTAAGTCAGAGAGTAAGTCACAGAGTAAATCACAGAGTAAGTCAAGAGTAAGTCACGAGATGTAGAGAGTATGTAGAGAGGTACAGAGTAAGTCAGAGAGTAAGTCAGAGAGTAAGTAAGTCAGAGAGTAAGTCACAGAGTAAGTCACAGAGTAAGTCAAGAGTAAGTCACAGAGTAAGTCACAGAGTAAGTCACAGAGTAAGTCAAGAGTAAGTCACAGAGTAAGTCACAGAGTAAGTCACAGAGTAAGTCACAAGTAAGTAAGTAAGTATCAAGTGTAGAGTCAAGTATCAAGTGTAGAGTAAAGTATGGAGTCAAGTAAGTTGATTCTATGTCTGTCATCTATGTACTCAACTGCGGCGTTCCACACGGAAGAACCCTTCGCGAAGCTTTCGGGAAAAATACACACGAAACCAGGAACAGTTGCCACTTTCGATAACTGCGGAAAAAAAGTGCTGTAAAACACAGCATTTCCGACCACAGCAAGTCCCAAAAAATAAGAGGTTTGGGCGTCGCACCGGGGGGGGAAACCCTACTACTACTACTACAACTACAACATACTACAACTACAACCACAACGACAACAACAACACTACCAGCAACAATTACAACACGAAATCCGTCCTAAATGCGAAATTGTAAGGAAAATTTGATTTTCCCAAGGAATAACCAAGGCAACGTATGTTTTCCTTCTGAAAACCTGAAGAAATGACACGAACGCCATAGGTAATAGGAAAATAATGTTTTTCCTAGGAAAAACCAAGGAACATTTAAGGAAATAACACGGAATCCGTAGGAAAATCGTGTTTGCCCGAGGAAAACCCAGCAAATCTTAAGGACAGGAATCAGAATCCGTAGGAAAATCGTGTTTTCCCATGGAAAAATTCAGGAATTGCTGTATTTAAAGAGAAAGAAAGGAAGACAGAAAGAAAGAAAGAAAGAAAGAACGAAAGAGAGAACGAAAGAACAAAAGAAAAAAATTAAAGAAAGAACGAACGAATTTGAGAACGAAAGTAATACAAGAAGAAAGAAAGCAAAGAACGAAAGGAAGGAAGGAAGGGAGTATGAAATGAATACAGAAAGAACCACAGAAAGAAAGAAAAGGAATGAACGAACGAAATACGGAAATAAGTCCAGAAGAAACAATCCAAATTGGAAAAGACGAAAGAGAAAGAACATGAAAGCATCACAAAAAAGAAAGATACAAGCAATAGGATACTACATAGTCGAATCGAATATACCATCATGTAGTAAAATACCATAACATATAAAATAACATAATGTAACCTAATGTTATATACTATACTAAACATTTTGTTGTACATATACACACTATATTGTACTATGTTACAATGTACTACACTATAAACCAAGATGTTGTTTTGTTCTATGTTATGTTCTGTCATATTGTATTTTTTATGTTATTATATGCTCTAAGAAGCAATACTATGTTATGTCAGAAGATGTCACGCTATTTTTGGGATGTCGAACCATCTTTTGTCGTTCTTATGGTTTACTATGTTATATTATGTTAGAGTACTAACGGAAGAAGATACACGAAGAGGCACGGAAGAACGAAAGACCCACCGCCGCGCTTTTCGAGCCGTGCAAGCTTGATTCAAAGAGTGCTTTCGAAGCCCATCATGCGAGCGTTGTGTCTGCAAATGGGGGGGGCTGCGCCCCCCCCAACCCCCCGCTGTTTTAAGCCGTGCAGGGTTGCTTTGAAGCATATGGTTTTTTTGAACCCCATCACACGAGCATTGTGTTTGCAAATGGGGGGGGCTCCGCCCTTGTAGATACATGCTGAACCAGAATCGCCAAATGAGGGGGCGTGTTTCGGATGATGAAGCGGAATCGCCTTTGAGGGGGCGTGGTTAAGATATAGGATGAGCCGGAATCGCCAAACGATACTACTACGACGACGACGACGACTACTACTACTACTACTACTACGACTTCTGCTACTACTACTACTACTACTACTACTACTACAACTACAACTACAACTACAACTACAACATACTACAACCACAACGACAACAACACTACCAGCAACAATTACCACACGAAATCCTAATTTTCGTCCTAGGAAAAACCAAGGAAAACTTAAGGACATAACACGGACTCCGTAGGAAAATCGTGTTTTCCCGAGGAAAACCTAGCAAATCCTAAGGAAGTGAAAGAGAATCCGTAGGAAAATCGGAAAATCGTGTTTTCCCATGGAAAAATTCAGGAATTGCTGTATTTACAATATTTTATTTTTTTGATGCTTATTTTAATTATTTGTTGATTCCTCTGCCCCAGGAATTGTTGTATTTTGAATGGTTTTGTGTTTTTTGATCCTTATTTTTTTTGATCCTTCCATTCAACCTTTTTCGATCCTTATTTTTTTGATCCCTCACCCCAACAACCCGTCCACAAGATCCACAGCAGTATTCAGAGACCGGGGTATTTACATCAAGTTTCAGGCGCGCATAGCATCAAGCATGTGGGTTTAGGCCGTTTAGGGGGTTTGCAGTACGGTAAGGGGTTTGGGTCCCGCACCCGAAAGCCCAGGCCTTGATCCAAAATGTAAAGCAAATTCCACACCTCAAGCTCAGACAGGAAGGTCCAGAACAACCACTCCAACCCAGGTCCAACAATCGAGACCGCAATAGGCCTACCTGTACCACTCTTTCCCACTGCACGCTTCCCAGCCCAAAAAACTCCACTCATGAGAGCAGCTGGACCGTCCAACCTTCAATGCAAGGCAGGTTTGAGCGAACCCTTGGACTCGTTCGACTTCTCCGAGGAGATGACTAAGGTGGCAGTTCGGGTTCAATGCTTCCAGGGGCCAGGCTTTTGGGGTTTAGGGTTTCTAAAGGGTTCGGGGCTCTCATGCATGAAGATCCGGGGTTTTGGCCCGAGTTCGGGCTGAGGGGCCTAGGGCCTCAGGCTTTTCGCTTCGAGGGTCAGGAGTTACGGCAATAGACTTTGGAGTTTAGCATTTGGAGGTTTGGGGGCTTAGGGTTCAAGCATGTGAGTGTGGTTTGGCCTCATGTCTTGCGAATCTTGGGTGTTCAGAGTTTGCAGTTTTTGGGGTGTTGGGTCCTGCGCTGTTCAACAAATCTCAGAAAATTTCGAGCAAGGCCTGCACCACAAAACCAGGCAGGATCCGAAACTCGGCCAAAGGCTTCACACGAAGTCATGATGTTGCGGTTAGAGTCTAGAACCAGAGCTTTTCGTGATGGTCATCGTAAGGTCTTGCGAAAGGCCCTGGCGACTGTGTTTCTCGTGGTGCATGCATGCTCGTTGGAGAAACCTTGTTATAGGATCCTTAAGGGAGGGTGGTTCAAGGGGGGAGGGTATAAGGAATCCATAGGGGACTGTAAGGGAATTTTAGGGAGTACTAGGGAGGATTACGGATCACTAGGCTACATACCCCCCTTGGACCCCCCTCCCTTAAGGATACTACAACCTTGGGTCCAGAAGCAGCTCGTGATTGAAGTCACAACTCCTTCAACCGCCCTTTGAACCCTAAACCCGGAACCCTAAACCCTAAACCCTAAACCGTGAACCCTAAACCCTAAACCCTGAACCCTAAACCCGGAACCCTAAAGCCGGAACTCGGAACCCTAAAGCCGGAACCCTAACGGTTTGTGCCCAGGTGACCTTCCGCCTGGCCGATGGGTCACGCCTGATCCCTGGCTGCCCTAAGCTCGAACACTGAAACCGCGGGTTTAAGGTTCGGGGTGTGCCAAGTTTAGGGTTTAGGGTGTAGGGTTTGGGGCTCGGGTTGTATCAAGTTTAGGGTTTAGGGCTTAGGGTTTAGGATTCATCAAGTCCACACGAAACTTTGCTCCGAGCTCCAAGCCGGAGCCTTTCATCTCAGGTTTTATGACCGTCGGCTGCTGGTCGCACGCTCTGAATACTTCCGGGAAATGTTGGAGCCCAGCTGGAAGGACTTGCTTTTGTCGGACCACCGTTGAGGTCTTGCTGGGTTGAAGAATTCGGGTGGAGCCTGGGTCGGCTTTTTGGGTTACAAATACTCGTACCTGCACCGTAGGAAAGCTAAGGCTAAGACGAACACTATAGCACTAGTATCATAGTTCTACTGCTCGTTCTCATACTAATACTAGAACCACTGCCATACGCAAGCCAAGATGAATACTACTACTCCTGCTGATGCTACACCATAACCACGCCAAAACTAGTACTAAGCCCTAAACCCTAAACCGTGGTTCAGCATCTCAGAGCCCATCAAAATTATGAAGGCCCCTACACTCCTATACTCATAGCATGCTGTACACCAAGCGCTGCTCTAAGTGTTAATGCCCCTGTATTACTACTACTACTACTACTACTACTACTACTACTACTACTACTACTACTACTACTACTACTACTACTACTACTACTCCTACTGCTACTACTACTACTACTACTACTACTACTACTACTACTACTACTCCTGCTGCTACTGCTGCCAGTACTGCTAGTTCTCCTAGTACTGCTAATACGGCGAGTACTGCTAGTATTGCTAAGCATATACTGGTACTAGCAGGGCACCGGAGGACGACGACTGCTGCTACTGCTACTGCTGAAACCCTACAACCCCAAAGCTCTGAATCCTCTAACCTAAACCCAAAGCCCTTACAAACCCTACTGCGACCAGCATTAGGCATGTTTTGGCCGACGCTTGCTGTATACTTCTGGAGGAAGGACGCACCAATGAGGTCGACTTGAGTGGTGATCCTGAGGCGGCATTCTGGCAGTTTTCAGGTTCAAGATTTAATTATGGGGCTCTATTGAAAAGAATCGGGTTTGAGAGCCCATTATACTATATTTATGATAAGAAGCCCCCAAAATAGTATTGGTAATTATTAAGGCCCCTATAGTAGGGCGTGGGCGGCTCCGTTGCGGGCTTCGGAGTTTTCGGACGTGGGTGATGGTGTTTAATTAGGGGTTTTGCGTTGAGCCGGGGTTGTGCATGCAGGTTGTGCCTGGCAAAACGGACGAGATGTCATCCCAGTCCTAAGCAACGGAGGGCAACTATAGCAGGGTTTTCTCGCCACGAGTTGTCATGTTTTGCCTTCAGCAGCATCATTGAGGTTACAGTATAGCATGCACCAGATCATTACCATCATCATGACAATACTTCAAAATTGAAATCCGGCTGTCCGAAGAGTGCAAGTTTTTCAGTCCACGCCCAGACACTTAAGCTCTATTTCACAGTTTTTAAACACATGACAGAACACAGAACACTGTGTCTCGGCGAAGTGGCTTAGAAGGCAAACCCTGAACCCTAAATTGAAAATGCCGATCCCCGTCTTACATCTCAAACCCCAAACTCCATACCCCAAGCTCTCAAACCCTAGACCCTAGCCCTTAAACATTCAAAGTTTTCCCAGCAACACCCTTAAAAGAACCTTTGAACCTAAACCCTAAACCTCCAAACCTTAAATCCTAAACCTTGAACCCTAAACCCTAAACCCTAAAACCCTAAACCCTAAACCCCAAACCCTAAAACCCTAAAACCCTAAACCCTAAACCCACAATTCGGCCTTCTGCCTTCCAGGTGGAGCCTCGCGCCTTCAGCGCCTTGCTGATGTACCTCATGTCCGACTCCTTCTCTTCCAAGGCGGTTTTAGGGTTTAGGGCATTTAGGGTTTAGGGTATTTAGGGTTTAGGGTATTTAGGGTTTAGGGTTTAGGTTATTGTGTATCTTGGGTGTTTAGGGTATGTAGGGTTTAGGGTTTTGTGTATAGGGCATAGAGGGTTTAGGGAAGACGGTCGGCAAAGTGGGCCTTTAACCTCCGACCGAGAGATGCGCTCGTTATTGTTGGTAGCGTCAGAACCCGTCGAAGGAGGCCACTGGCTAATGTAGGGGCCTTAATAGAATAAGGTTTTGGGGGATACTTGAAGGTTCATGGGTAGTTATAAGTGGGGTTATATTTCCACTAATATGTGCTATAATTACTGTTACCATCCTTATAACGCCACTTCTAATGTCCCATGAACCTTCAAGCATTTTACGTTATACTTAGGAACCCCCAAACCCCGGTTCTAGTTATTAAGGCCCCTATATTAACATTACGACATCACCACATCAGGTTTGAGGTTCATTGCGGTAGTCTTCATAGTGCAGTAGTAGTGGTAGTAGTCGTCGTCGTAGTAGCAACAGGAGAGTGGTGGTAGTAATGGTAGTAGCTGCAGTTGCAGCAGATGAAGTAATAGTAGTCGTGGTCGTCGTCCTATTAGTAGTAGCAATATGAGTACTAGCCCGGATCGCGGCATCTCTCGACATCTTCATTTACCTCACACTCGTTTCTTCATCTGAATGGTCGTCATAACCCTCATCTCCATGAGAAGCAACACCAGCAGGATTGGCATCACCTTCAACATCATCAGCATCATCATCAGCAGCATTGATATCAGCGTCACCAACTTCTTTATACTAGCACGCATGTACCATGAAAGCCAGCATATGCCAGCAAACAGAAACAGCAGCATCATCAACAACAGCTGACCACTGACAGCAGCGACGACGCACACTACAGCCGAACCTTCGTCTTCGGTGGTCAGGGGGACATCAACTTCGCGTTTGCCGTGCGTCGCCTGGCCGACCGCTATGGTCTAATGCAGCTGGTGGACATGGTCGAAGAGGAATTGGAGGGACGCTCGGTTGTCCACGTTAGGGTTTTGGGTTTGCTTTTGGTTTTGGTTGTCAGTGCTTCGTAGCTTGATCAGTTCAGGTTAAAGGGTGAAAGAGTTACAAGTTACACAGGAAAGAGCATGAAGCTGGATAGGGAGTAACGGCCTATAAAGCATGAGGTAGTTTGGCATTGGTGCAAGGTTGCAGATCTCGTGGGTCTTAAGGTCATAGGACCTCAGGTTTGGCACAATACTCCGCGAGCTATCACTCTGGCCAGCGTTCTTTGTGTTTTGCGTCCTGCTGTACATGAAGTATTGCAGCTACTACATAATTACCGAATGTGAACTCCATGCTCAATGCTGTCTCATGCCTTTACAGGATAGCGCTAAGAATCTGTTTAGGTGAGAGTAGCCCAACCTCTTGGAACCCAACGGATGACACAACAGAGCTGGGTAAACATGCTAGTTGCGCAGCGTATGTACAGTATGGGCACTACAGGCGCGAACGCACCGAAGCCGCAAACCCCATACCTGTGCCCAAAGTAATTGCAAAACGTCCCAAACACCCTAAACCTCAAACCCTATACCTTAAACTCTAAACCTTAAGCCCTAAACCTTAAACCCTAAACCCCTAAAGCCTAAACCCCTAAACCCCTAAACCCCTAAACCCTAAACCGCAAACCACCTTTCCCCAGTCTCCGACCCCCAGAGCCTCGAACCTCAGTCATAAAATCCTCAAACCTACAGTCCAGAAGGCATGACACCCAGGGTACTTGGGGCCGAAACAGCAAAAGCAAAAGCATAACAGTGATTAACAAGGCCCCTGCACAGCACCCTGAATTCTTGTTATGATCGACTTAATCCGGTTTTTAACGGTTAATACCACGTATGGTCGCCCCTTGATGCTTGTAAGGACTGCTTTGTGCTGACAACGTTCTGAGCTTCTTCGGGAAGGCTCATAGGGTTTGGTGGATGTACTACCTATAGGGTCATACCCTACCCCTTCTTAAAGGTACCTACTTTTCTATATAAGAGAACCTAACCATAAAACTAAGTACCCTAGACAAGGGGCAGGGTATGACCCTCTAGGTATGTTGGGGGCACTTGAAAATATGTTAACTTCTATTTTGGGTTCAATAATCCCTCAGAGGGAGCGAAAGTTAGAATTTGTGCAAGGGTTCCAAGTTCAGTACAGATATAGGGCTACGTGAAAACCCGAGGACATGGTACTACTTATTGCGCAGACCGTTGCAGCACAAGTTTTTGGGTTCTGGTATGCCGATGCGGGGTGAACTCCCGCTGCAAGTGAAAATACGCCCTAAATTCCAGACCCTGAGCTCCGAATCTCGTTGTTGGATTTCGGGTCGAGATGGGATTAAACTCAGAGATCAGAAACTAGGAAAATGGACATGGATTAAGGATGATTCGTGCTAGGACTCCCGATACTCTACTGTAAGCACATGAGGATAATGATGTTCCAACTTTCTGGGATCTACTGTAGAATCAAGTAGTAGAATAAGTGGCCTTTCGCTGGGGACTGCGCTTATGACCCGACCCGCTCTAACCTTCTTGAAGGCGTACTGGAATCCCTAGCGGCCCTATATCGCATCCGGAAAGGGTTCAACCTTCAGTTCACTGGAAAACTGGACAAATAAGAACCTTGAACTTGGGGGATCTTCTAGGGTCCCTTCCTGAACTACCCTCCTGTCCGTGGAGGCACTGTAAATGCAAGCCCAAGAGGGCAACACTTCACAGTTCAGATTTACTACACTATGGTGTCCGTTTACCAAGGTTTCTCTTTCAGGTATTTGTTCAATGCCCTAAACCCTCAACCCTGTTCAAAGAAGTGCCACCAAAAACCACCGGCATACCTACACGAATGATTTTGAACAGAACTGGCAGGAATCAGTAGTTTAATGCCCTGCACTGTATGGGCGGTTGTCAAAATGATGGTCCCTTTTGGGGAGTAATAGGTGCCGTATTATAATAATGAGCCAAAAAGTGACCCTAATTTTGACAACCACCCATATCAACTCCAAGCGACAACGGACATCCGAGTTGAAGCAAAAGTCCTGAACTTCTGAGCACGGCGTAGGATGGCTAATGATCTTCTCTGAACTGTCCGAAACCGCATCTCTGAACCCTGCTTGGAGGTTCATGGGTAGTTATAAGTGGAGCCCCTAGTACGGGTTATCAGTATAGTGACCCCACTTACGACCCTACGTAAAACTGCCCATGAACCTCCAAGTACCTAAGCCTAAACCACTGAGAAAACCACGATGACGTAGGTGGTGGGCAGCGGCGGCCGCCTGGAATCGGCTTGCCTCGAGTGCCCCTGCCTGTCTTCATGGGGACAAGTTCGGAAAAGTAATCCAAAAACCCTAACTCCTAAACTCTAAACCCTCAGCCCCTAAACCCGAAACTAAGACAAGGTTTCCTTTTGGGGATTGTTTGGCTTTCTCCGCGAGCTTCGACCGGCAGGGTTGGGATTTCAGGCTGTACTGGCTTCACAAGAAGACCCAAAGACTTGAAATGACCTGAGTTCAATCATGTTACATGCTGGTGCTCGTCGGTCTTGTCTTCATTATGGCCGAACAGTGACAGTAACTGGATCAATCCGAAATGTAAGACATTTAGAAGAGTTCGATGTTGAAGGCTGTTGCTCTGCGGGGTTCTTTCAATTTCAGCCTAAGGCAATTCCTTTGTAAAGTATGTGTTGAAGCTTTTGCACTGGCATCTTACAGTTGTTTTGGAGTTACTGGCTGCAAGTATGAAAGGCTTGGTCGAAGCAGTCGTGGTGGTGGTCGCTGTGGTGAAAGTAGTGCACTTACCATGATTCGTCGCAGCAGTAGCAGCAGCACTAGCGCCATCACTCGTACCGGGCGCTAACCGTAGTAGTAAAAGGTGCACGCGTAGAGTCGGTAGTGGCAGCATCGCCTGGTGTGGTGGTGGTGGGAGAGAGGAAGCAATAGTCACCACAGGCAGAACCTACCTTTTTAGGAGCGGCAAATGCAGCACGACTGTCCTTACACCCTCGATGATGCTACCCATGATACTGCAACAGGGTTCAGGGTTTTGGGAGTTAACAGGCGTGTGTCTCGGCTTCCTTCCGAGCTTAGAGGAGCAGTTGTTTCAGCCAGCGCTGCTGAAAACTAGGCACCATTCCGAAAAGTTGAGGTTTTATCTGCTTACACCTAAACCCTAAACCCTAAACCCTAAACCCCTAAACCCTAAACCCTAAACCCTAAACCCTCAGGCCCTAAGTCGCAAGCTATCGTTAGCCGAAAAGTCCTGAGGCTTGTCAAAGCCAACGGATGCCTTGTCCTGGAGACCAACCGAGCTTTGCTGGCAAGACTGGGTTTTTGTTAAGGAGATCAATTTGAGATACCATAATAGGGATCTACAGTAGATAATATGGCTGTCTTATTTAAGATCCCATAATAGGGACCTATAGTAGATATTATGGCTTTCTTATTTAAGATACCGTAATAGGGACCTATAGTAGATAGTATGGCTTTCTTATTCAAGATACCGTAATAGGGACCTATAGTAGATAGTATGGCTTTCTTATTTAAGATACCATAATAGGGACCTATAGTAGATAATATTTCTATCTTATTTACGATACCACAATAGGGACCTATAGTAGATAATATGGCTTTCTTATTTAAGATACCAGAATAGGGATCTCTAGTAGATAATATGGCTTTCCTATTCAAGATACCATAATAGGGATCTCTAGTAGATAATATGGCTTTGTGATGATGGTAACTTAGATTAAAGCCCTTAACAAGAAGCCAGAAGATCGGGACACCAAGATGTGCCATGCACGTCTCAAGGATGCAAAGCCTTAAGCCCGGCCCAAAACCCTCAAACCCGAAGCCTTGAACACTGTAACCTAAAACCTAAATGCTCGGAGCTTCCCTAAGGCCCCAAAGTAGTTCCTTTCGGGAGTTCAGATTAAGAATCCTACAAGGTAATCCCCAAAAGGAAACTGCTATGGGGCCTCTGGGTAAAGCCGTGAGCCTGAAGCTCGAAGTCAGAAACTACAGCGTTGGCTCGAAGCAGTGCATCATAGGAGGCCAAAAGGGGTTTTAGCCTATGAGGGTTTAGTAGGGATTAGGCTTTCCAGAAGAGGGTTCATATTAATATTAAGGAATTCCTACCCCAAGAATCTTAAACCCCTCTGTTGGCCTCCCATCAGTGCAATTACAAAAGGTTGGGTTGGGATCACTAGCGCCAACCGGATGAGAGGCAACGCGGCGTCATAACGCCTGCCTAGATGCCTCAGAGCCTTAAAACCCATAACCCATCAAAATCCTAAACCGTAAACCCCAATCCTCAAAACCCTGAAGCCCAACCCCCGAGCCTAAACCCTAAAGTAAAAGCCAGAAAGTTGGAATATGATTATTCTAAACCCTTAATGGTAGATTATAAGGTATCCTACCCTGAAACCATATTCTTCAACTTTCTGGAGTTCCCTTTAAACCCTACAGCCATAAAGCTTCAGAAACCCAAAGCCTCCCCCAACCCAAAAGCTCCTATAATACCTTAGAAGCTGCCCCCACCCTGTAATAGTGGTACAATAGGAATATAATAGGGCCCTAATATAATCCTATATAATCCTTATGGTCACTATTACAGGATGGGGGCCCCTTCTAAATAATACCCTAAAACCAAACGCCCCAGAACCCTAGCCTTGATCTTTCACGACATAGGCCAACCCTAAACTCCTCTTTAAAAGTCCTGTAAAAGGAAGCCTAAACATCTATCCTAAGCCCTAGAATACCAAAATCCTAGCCGGCTCCAGCCCTGAATCCTCAAACCCGAAAGCCTTGAAGCCCTGAAGCCATGCATGATCCGGTGGATGATATAAATCCCGCATGACCTTCAGGACCCTAAACTATGGGAATTATGGTAAATTCCTTATAATGGGTAATGCAGGATTTATATCATCAACCGTCCTTCGCTACCGAGGAGACAAGCTGAACCAGATCGTGGATGAGAACTCGGTGCCGGGACGACTCATTACAGGGTTCTCGGGTTTAGGGTTAGGATGTAGGCCTAGTTGTTTGGGTTGAGGTTCTAAGAGGGGTTTGGGGGTTAGGCTTTGGGGTCTAGATGTAAGGATGTTGGTAACGTGTTTTGTTCCGATTGTCCGAGCGTCACGGATGCGGCGAATGCAGATCGTGGAACTGGACTAGAAACCCTAAATACGTTGTGACAAAACCCTAGAAAACTGTCCTTGAAAACCCCTATAAAACCATAGAGGACCTCAAACCGCATAAATGTATCAGACCCTAGAGAAAGTTTGCACCACCCCAACACGTGGGGGTGCTTGGAAACGTTTTTCACATCTTTGGTTACTATATCACCGAAAAGCAATATCTATAACTGCTGCAAGGGCGCCAAGTTCAGTATAAACCCTAAACCCCTAAACCCTAAGCTAAGTAGAACGGTGCAACCGGGGGGGGGGGGGTTCTAAGTAATTCAAACCCAAAGACCGACAAAGAGCCCTATAAAACCCTACAGAATACCCTAGAACCCTTAACGGAGCCTTAAAACTCCACCTGGGCGGTTGTCAAAATTATGGTATGGTCCTTCTTGGGTCCCTATTATAATACGGCAGACAACCACCCACCTATAATTACCCATGAACCTCCAAGGTAACAGACCCCTAAACCCTACACCCTAAACCCTACACCCTAAACCCTAAACCCGAAGCCCTAAAACCCTAAACCCTAAGCCCTAAGAGATCCAGAGACCGCCACAGAGCCGAGGATCTGACCAAGGCGCTGTTGCAGCTGCTGGTAGACAGCCGCAACCGCTCCGCGGCTTTCATAGGAGGCCAAAAGGGGTTTTAGCCTATGGGGGCTGGGGATCCCTAGGTTTCCTTTAAAGGGATCTATAGGGGTTCCTTAAATTAAAGGCATCTATAAGGGTTCTATACAGTGTTTAGGGTTTAGGGCTTAGCGGGGATCTTCATAGGAGGCCAAACGGGGTTTTAGCCTATGGGGGTTTAGTAGGGATTAGGGTTCCCAAAATAGGGTTCATATTAAGGAGTCCTACCCCAAGAATCTTAAACCCCCCTCTTGGCCTCCCATAAGGCTTAAATGTGGCATTCTACGGTTTCAGGTTTAGTTCAGGAGTTTAGGGCTTAGGGGTTTATAGGGCTTATAGGGTTTATAGTGGTTTATAGGGTTTAGGGTTTAGGCTCACCTGGACCCCGAAAGTATGTAGCAGCTGGGCCACTGTTTTACACTTACTTTTGGGGAGTTTGGGGTTATGGGGTTTGGGGACACCCTAAAAGCTAAACCCCAAATCCCTCGACTAGAATCCTCACCCTAGTGGCTGAGTATATAGGTATATAACCTTTCCCTTTTTGGGGCGTACATAATCCTACCAGAAGTTAAACGATTAACCTTTTTTGGGCTTGGGCACTCAGCCCTTCAGTTGCACCACAAGCCCAGGAGACTGCCCACACTGCGGAGACGTCGCACTTTGAACTCGGAGGGCTGAGAGTGCCCTGCAGCTGTCGGCCACCTCAGCGGCTGGTCCGGGCCCACAAGCGGCAATCCTGCACTGACCGTGGTGGTAACTAGTGGTAAAAGCCTTGGTGGTCGTAGTGGTACCTGAACCGGAAAGTATGTAGAGTCATAGGCTTTGGGGTGGGTGTAGGTGGTAGTAGTAGTAGTAGTAGTAGTAGTGGTAGTAGTATTAATAGTAGTAGTAGTAGTAGTAGTAGTAGTAGTAGTAGTAGTAGTAGTAGTAGTAGTAGTAGTAGTAGTAGTAGTAGTAGTAGTAGTAGTAGTAGTAGTAGTAGTAGTAGTAGTAGTAGTAGTAGTAGTAGTAGTAGTAGTAGTAGTAGTAGTAGTAGTAGTAGTAGTAGTAGTAGTAGTAGTAGTAGTAGTAGTAGTAGTAGTAGTAGTAGTAGTAGTAGTAGTAGTAGTAGTAGTAGTAGTAGTAGTAGTAGTAGTAGTAGTAGTAGTAGTAGTAGTAGTAGTAGTAGTAGTAGTAGTAGTAGTCGTAGTAGTAGTAGTAGTAGTCGTAGTAGTAGTAGTAGTAGTAGTCGTAGTAGTAGTAGTAGTAGTAGTAGTAGTAGTAGTAGTAGTAGTAGTAGTAGTAGTAGTAGAAGTAGTAGTAGTAGTAGTAGTAGTAGTAGTAGTAGTAGTAGCAGTAGTAGTAGTAGTAGTAGCAGCAGTAGTACTAGTAGTAGTAGCAATAGCCTATCCGTAGTAGTAGTAGTAGTAGTAGTAGTAGTAGCAGCAGTAGTAGCAGCAGCAGTAGTAGCAGCAGTAGCAGCCGCGAGCTCAAGGTTCCTGTGCAGGGTTGCCCCGGAAAGGGCAGGGAGTGGGTGCACTCCAATCCAAGAACCCTGTACGATCGAGGCGGTCCAGCTACGCCTAGGAAGAGGCGACACAACAAAGGTAAGCTTCGGCACAAGACGGACGAAGAGGCTGCAGGATCAGTGTAGACTCGAGAGCCTGTAGTTGTGATGCTTGTGTACTGTTTTCGCAGTCTTCATCAATCTATGCTTAAGTATACAGTCTCGTCGTCTAGTTGTTCATGAACTTCTGCTCTTTGCAGCCATGCCAACCCAAGTTTTTGGGCGAAGTTCCTGGCGGTGGAGAGGCCCAGATCGACATGAGGAAGGAGTTCGCTCGACGGGCTCTCCGTGTCTGGGCTGTCTCATGTATGTCCTTTCTGGGAGAACAGCAGAATCCCAAAGGCCAGACGTTCTTCTGAAACCCAGAGTGGCAGTGCATGACCAGTACTTGGAGGGTCGGGGGACTTAGTAACTGGTTATTTTAAGGACTTATATAAGTACCATAACCCCAATTAGGGTCCCTTTTAGGGTCCTTATAAGTCTACTTACTACCTACTTACTAAGTCCCCTGACCCTCCAAGTACCAGGCACCTGTACAGCCTGCTCCGATGTGGAATCCGACAGCAGGCACCTGACCGAAAGCAGGTCTCGTCGAAGGACCAACATGGGTGGTTGTCAATATTCGGGTCCCTTTTGCGGTCCTTCTTAATATAATACGGCTCCGAATATTTAGGGTACCCCAAAAAGGGACCATCATTTTGACAACCACCCCACATGAAGTTTTAAAGGGTGCTCGCTCTCATCCCTTAAAGACTTTTGAAGGGAGCTGGGGCCGAAAAGCTCCAAACATCCTCGAAGAACACCGCGAGGTTCGATCCCGGAAGAAGCTCCATGCTTGGAGCGTCGGGGGACTTAGTAAGTAGGTAGTAAGTAGACTTATAAGAACCCTAAAAGGGACCCTAGTTGGGGTTATGGTACTGATAAGTTCCTAAAATCACCAGTTACTAAGTCCCTCGACCCTCCAAGCACAGCTGGGGCATCTCTACGACTCGGAACCTGCGAGCTTTGAGAAGCTTGAATGCCAAGCACCTCGAAGCCTGAATGTTCTAAAATCTGCGTGGTGCAGCACGCATCCGTGTACCTCCTGAGGAACTTGAGGAACTCCGATCTGCACGTGTGATTAACAGTCCCCCCTGCAGATCCGCAAGAAAGCAGCATGCGGCTGCTGATGCTGTGCATGCTGGCGAAACCCTTTCCAATGCAACTTTCCTAAGCCGCAGTGTAGTAATACGAATGCCTGGATTCCGGGTTCCCAGCTGCCATCAAATCACAGAAGCCGCAGCATACGGCGGTGTCCAAACATCCCAGAGCGCATGATTTAAATCGGCACTGGCCAAAAAGACCAAAATATTCAGAGCCGATTCTCTGGTCTGTACATGGTTGTGTCGGAATGAAGAGCTCAACAAAGAGACAAATTAGATCTCGTCAGTCAGGTCAGGTCATATTAGATCCGAAATTCTTCATCCACGCCACAGTCATCCGATCTTCGGAGAGGGTGTGTATATCGTTTCGGATTTGATTTTCATTCTTTTGGGTCTTCTCAGAATAGCAGCGAGCCGCGAAAGGACTGTTTTCACAAAGGGGCAACCCAACCTCAAGCCTGACAAACAGGAGCAGCCTTACCACCTAGCAGCAGTCTCCCAAATCAAATGCCCAGATAAAGTACTAGGACCCAGAGTAAGCCCTTATTCCCTTTTTTGGGGTTCAGGTTCCCTTATGAACCCCTTTGAACCAAAAAGGGCACCCTTTTTATTACCAGGTTACTCTTGGGTCTAGAGTACCGCCTGGCCTCTTGCCCCTCTGCGTCTTACATTGGCTTTACAAGTTGGATGCGGCGAGCTGGACTGTTTAATCCGTAATTTCAATCTTCTGCTTCGAGTTTTGTAAACCGAGGCCCTAAACCCCAAACCGCTTTGTCAACCCAAGGATTTGGAGCGTGAAAAGGAGAAGGAGCGGCAGAAGGAGCTCGAGCGTCGAAGAGAGGCGATTGGCTGAGCTTGGAACGGTAGGGTTGAAGTCTGCTGTTTCGGTTGTGGGGGGGTTGATTGATGCATTTGTTAGTTCGAGACACGTCGTCCTATATGAACGTATATGATTCCCCATGTGTATACTATATATATATATATATATATATATATATACATATGTATATATATATATATATATGTAGACATGCATTTTATATATCTATTTATAGATGCGGTTATCTAGCTGTTCCGAATCCTTCGAAGCATTACACCAGACAGGCCAAGCCCTTCTATGATGGAAACATATGGGTTTGGGGTTTTAGGGTTTAGGGTTTCGGGTTTAGAATTTAGGGTGGGTAGAGATCCCCCGTCGTACCGGGTAGCAACACATGCGCTCCTGCTTCTGGCAGAAGTCTGTCCTTCCTTTCCCAAAGGGTCCTATGTACCGATATAGTAGAATGTAGGGTTTCCATATTAGGAATTACTATTATGCCTTAGGGAAGTATCCCCCATAGCAGTACATAGGACCCTTTGGGTTTCTCCAGCCTATCCTTTTTTTTCGGCGCACCTGCAGTATACCCAGGCGTCGAGCCCGCGACCTGGGACCTGGACTGGAGAGATTGAGGGCTTAGGGTTTATAAATGGCTTCCCTAAGCCGTAGACCCGAAAGGTTGAAATAGTTCATATCCCGGTAATCAACTCTAGTCTAAATCGGGACCTCAAGTGGTAAAGCTTCACTTAAGCCCTAAAGGTCCTATGCAGCCTACAATCGAGACTCCAATACCCCTAATCAAGGAACATACCCTAAGTTATGAAAAGATCCCTAATATGATTTAGGGAATATTTCGTAGTTCCCTTACAGTACCCTTATAGAACCCTTTAAGGAGCCCTTTAAGGAACCCTGTAATGTATATTCCGAAATTAAGTGGTATTGGCGTCTCTGGGGCTTTAAGCACCCTAAACCCCAAACCCTAAACCCCAAACCGTTTGACTTCCTTACAAGCCCAAGGAGGCGCCCTGAATCTGCGCTGCGGTAGGGGCCTAAATAACTAGGGTTTACTTGGAGGGTCGGGGGACTTAGTAACTGGTTATTTTTGGGGACTTATAAGTACCGTAACCCCAATTAGGGTCCCTTTTAGGGTACTTATAAGTCTACTTACTACCTACTTACTAAGTCCCCCCGACCCTCCAAGTAGGGTTCCTTTAAAGGGCTCTTATACAGGGCCGATAAGGGTTACTATAAGGGCCACAAGAAGGGTAGGATACTATAGGGGCCTACAGAATGACCTGTACTATTTTGGGGGTGTTCTTAGCACATTTATAGTATAATGGGCCCCAAAGCCCTATTCTAACTGGTATATAAGGCCCCTAAACTACCTAGCAAGGCCCCTCAACTACCTAGCAAGGGACCTCTGAGTAGACTAAACGCTTTAACGGCTCAGGGTTTGACATCTTGTAGGATGTCTTGCCACGACCTTACAAAGCCACATAATATAGGGGCCTTAATAATTAGAATCGGGTTTTGGGGCCCCTTATACTATAATTATAAAAAGGAACCCCCCCAAAATAGTAATAGGCAATTATTAAGGCCCCTACATTGAAGATGTTTCCTTGCGAAGTTAGAAGACATTGCAAGACCTTACGAAACCCGTGTACAACCTTCTTTCGCCTTTCTCTCAGCCCTGCCTACACCCCAAACCCCGAGACCCAAAACCAGAAATCCCAGAACCATCCTAAACCCTAAACCTTCAAGGAAACTCTTATAGAATCCTTTCTAGGACCCTTGTAGAACTCCTTTGAAACCTTGAAACCCCTAAACCCCCTAAACCTTGCAAGCACCCTGGGACCCCAGGCGAAACGACAGCTGGAGCGCGAGAAGGAGGAGAAGAGGAAAGAGTCGGGAACCCTAGCAGAGCCCAAAAGGGTTGCGGCTTTAGGGCCCCTAAGCCCTAAACCCTGCAACCTAAACGCTAAACACCTGAGCCCAAAACCAAACGCCTAAGTCCCTAAACCCAAGAACCTAAACACTGAGACCCTAAACTCCTAAACGCCGCAACCCTAACCCCCCCCCATAAGCCCCTAAACCCTAAATTCCTAAACCCCTAGACGACTAAAACCTGAAACCCCAAACCCCTAAACCCCAAAACGCCTACACCCTGAAACCCTAAACCCCAAACCCCTAAACCCTAAACTCCTAAATCCCACAAGCCCTGAACAGAGGGCAGCAAAGCAGAAGCTTCTTCTGGCCTTTAGGAGTTTAGGGTTTGAGGGTTCAGGGTTTGGGGCATCGGGTTTTAGGGCTTAAGAGTTTTAGGGTTCGAGGGTTTAGGGTTTGAGGGTTCAGGGTTAAGTAAGGGATCGGGCTTTAGGGTTTAAGAGGTTTAAGGTTTGAGGGTTTAGGGTGTGAGGGTTCAGGGTTTAGAGGATCGGGCTTTAGGGCTTAAGAGGTTTAGGGTTTAGTGCAAGGAGAACCACAAACCGAAGCCAAGCCATGGAGGACCTCGCCGCTCAGCACAGCGTCGGCATCCACACAGTCATCGACAGAGACCACAGACAATAGCACACCCTCGTAGAAAGGGTTGTGCATCCCAGCAGCGCAAGTAGCCTGATGCAGACCAACGTTATAGCCGTTAGCATCTATTGCGCCTGCAAAGCAGTGCTACAAGATATGGGTTGCACCAGCGCTCCACTACGTCGCGGACACATCTCACTACTTTCGTGCTGCCAGCCACACACACTCTGTGCCCCTGTTCAGTTTAAGTGGGGTGAAGTTTAGGGTTTGGGGTTTGAACCGCGGCACCGTGGTGTACGGGGATGTTTAAATTTGGGGTGTGGGGCTCATGTGTCAGCGTTTTAATGGAGACCCATATCAGTAGTAGAACTATAGTATGCTTTCAAGATGTTCTTGTCGGCGCTGTGATTTGTCATGAGTCATTGGGTGTATTTGCGTTATTCCTGAGCTGCGGCAGGGGCCATATTCGTATATAGCAACAGTACTTGGAGGTGCATGGGTAGTTATAAGTGGGGCTGTAAGTCCCCTAATAGGAGCTATAGTTATAGTTACCCTACTTATAACCGCACGTAAAACTATTCATGAACCTCCAAATAGTCTTGCTCGTGGTGCTTGCTGTGGCGGCTGTGCGAAGATTCGACCTGGGACGATGGCGGGTTGGGGTTTGCAGTGGGCTTTGGAGTACCATACTTTAATACTTCTTTGGGACCTGTTACTTACAGGGGAACCCTTATGAACTAACAGTCTACATATTTTTCTCCCTGGTTAAAGCTGAGTGAATGATGGGGGGTTTAGTGCACACAGGCTTTGCGCCACCCAGGCTTTGCGCGTACTGCATTTTTCTCATGCTTCAACTAAACCCTAGCCCAAGGAAGAAAGCCAAGAAAAAGGAGAAGAAGGGCAAAAAGGCCAGACATCGTTCATCGCCATGCTCGTGTCCTTGAGCGTGTGACGTGTTTGATGCCACTGTTTTGAGGTTAATACAGGGGGCCTTAATGGCTACCCATATTATTTTGTGGGTTCCTTGTTACAATTATCGTATAGTGGGCCCCAAAACCGTATTCTAATTATTAAGGCCCCTATATTCGGTTCTGTTGTACCCTGAAGGCCCTCCAATAAGTCAGGAGACACTTACCTGACCGCGGTCCTTCGGTTGATGATACAGATTCCTGCGTTACTCATAATAAGGAATAGAGCATAACTCCCATAGTCTAGGGTCCTTAGGGTAATGCAGGATTTGTATCATCAACAGTACCTCGCGAGAGAAGACAAGCTCCAGACCCCTGAGCCTTTTGCCCGGAAGCAGTGCCGGAAGCGCTAAATGCCCAAAGCCCCGCCCAAGTCCCAATGAATGTGGGGGTCCCACGGAAAAAGCCTGCTAATTACCATCTGCTACCCTAAACTGGCCCTAAACTCCTAAATGCCTCCTGCACGTGACTTGAACCTCAATGTCCACGTTCAAGGCGGCCAAGGTGTTCAGGACGAAGTGTTAAGTTTATGTTTCATAGGCCTTAATGTTTCAAGAGGACGGGCTATGGGGTTAATGGTTTATGATTCAGACTTGGTTTCGCGGATTTGAGGCCCAAGGGTATATGCTTCAGAGTTAGCTGGTTTACGGGCTCCGGGTTTCGGTTTCCACTCCAAGGAAGCTCCTGAATACAGTACTAGAACAGTCACTAACAACCGACTATTCTAAAACGTATGGCCCCTCTGCAAACAAGAAGTCCTGACCCCAACTCGCTCTTCTTGGCACCTCCAAGACTCAGGGGCTTGGATGCGACGAGTCACCTCCGAAACCTGAAGTTTCATATAGGGTTTAGTGGCCCCAAAGTAGTTCGTTTTTGGGGTTCATATATAGAATCCTGTAAGGTAGTCCGAAAAAGGAACTACTATGGAGCCCCTGGGTAGGGTTTTCAGAATGCTGACCCAAATCGCAAGCTTGTTGCAGGGAGAGAAGATCAGCAGCGAAAGCAGCGATGGTGGGATCACTCTAACAGGCGCGCTGTCTTTGCACTGCCTAGGTTGACATTGATAACCAGGCCATTAATTACAGTAGCCTATTCGAAGCTACGCTTGTGTAGATGCATGGCTCATGCATCTACAGGAACACATTTTTCCGGAAAGAGGTTCGGTTAATTCGGGCTTTCGTGCGAAATAAGCGTACAAAAGCTTCCTGTGAATTCTTCGGAGGGCAGATTGCTACCTCGAGTCCTATAATGTGGGGGCCTTAACAATTACCTATACTATTTCGGGGTTTTTACTATAGTCATAATATAAACGGCCCCAAAACCCTATTCTAATTGCACTGATCATGAAGGCCCCTATAGTACACAACGAGCTGTACTACGGCCAGCGCGCCCGAGCGCCACTGCCACCACCAATACCAACTCCGCCACTCCACGTCAACTTGACATTCCATCTGTCTCCGAAGCCCGCAAGCCTTAAAACCCTAAACCCTAATCCGTCCTGAACTGTACAACCTAACCCTGAAACCCTAAAACCCTAAGCCACAAAGCCTGAAGCCCTCAAACCTAAACCCTAAGCTTCCACCCTAAAACCCTCACCACTGAAACCCCAAACCCTAAAACCCCAAACCCTCGCCCTTAAAACCCTTTAACTTCCTCACCCCTAAAGCCCTTAACTCCCCAGCACCTATAACCCTAATCAAACCATCGTGGCCGTGCTGATCAGGTCTTGTCGGCGGAACGCCAATGTTAGCGCAGGAGGCGCAGCCCAAAATCTTACATAGCTTCTCATAGGCCGAGAAAACCCATCTTCCTGTAGCTCCTCATTATAGTTTCCTTAGGTCCTTAAAGAAAGGTGGCTAGTTCCTTTTGGGGGTCGGCTTGTAACATCCTGAATCCTATCAAGCTGGTTAAACCGAACACGGAACGGCAATGGGGACCAAGGCACGGGTTCATTCCCTCACGGTTTAGGGTTTAGGGTTTAGGGTTTTTTTGCGGGTATCCTGCAAAATCGGTAGGTAGGGCATGACGTTCCAGGTACTATTGAACCCTTATAGTCACCGTTTACAGGAAGTCTTCTGGCAACCTTTTAGAGGAACCCTGATAACATCACCCTAATCTACTGTATCATTATGGCCTTCATATTTAGATCCTGGAGGTGCTTCCTGGGCGAGCCTAGAAACCTGGAAACCCTGCACCCGAAATCCTAAACCTCGAGCCAGAAAGCCTAGACTTCCTCAACCCTAAACCCCAAACACTAACCCCCAAACTCTGCACACTAAAACCGAATGAGCACCTGAACTCCGAATCCTTATCCCCAAGCCTAACCCGAAACCTAAAGCTTTTGAGCTTAGAGTCTGAGCTTTCTGGGTTTAGGGCTTAGGGTTTTAGGGTGTTAGGTTAGGGATGGTGGCTTTAGTGTGGCCAGGTAGCCACCGCGAACCTAGCCCAGAGATTTGAGTCATACAAGCGGAGGATGCACTAACCCGGAAGTTAGCACTGCTTGTCCTAAAGGGTCCTATGTACTGTTATGGGGGATACTTCCCTAAGGCATAATAGTAATTCCTAATATGGAAACCCTACATTCTACTAGATCGGTACATAGGACCCTTTGCTTGTGGCTCATAGATCTTCATAGTGCGTAGTGTGTTGGAAACTTGTACATAAGGAGCCTTGGGGAGGCATTGCTGAGACTCTTTAATTGTGACATTTATAGGGTCTAAAATAAAAAGGGTCCCTAAACCCTAAACCCTCTACACCCCCAAACAGCGGTACTGTTTGTGCAAATGAGATGATGGCGCACTATGTGAAGAACTGTCAGAGATCCTTCAACCTAAACACCCCAACCCCTCAATCCTAAACCCCAACCCCCCCAAGAAAAAAAATCCCTTAGCCCCTAGAATTACCGACCCGCCTTTAATCTCAAAACCGCGCTCAACCCCAAACCGCCCGAAACCCGCAAAAACCCGGAAGCCCCAAGCCAGTCCACGAGGCCAAAGCCGCTTCCGCAGCCGCTAGATCTGTGGACTTGGACTGCAGGGTTGTCGGGTTTCTTCGGGTTTAGGGTTTGGGGCTTCTGGGGGGGTAAGGGTTTAGGGTTTCTTTGGGTTTAGGGCCGTAGGGTTTCTTGGGGTTTAGAGGGCCTTGACCACCACAAGCCCTGAATCCTGAAATCCTAATCCTTAAACTCTGAACCTTAAACCCTCGCCCTAAACCTTAAGCCCAAAACCCTAAACTCAACATTAAACATCCCTAGTTTGGGTTGCCAGGATTTCGCTTGGAAAGCAGAACGAGCAACACTGCGAACAGACCCAAGAAGTGGTGACGTTCAGCATAGGGGCATTGAGTAAATCCCTAGCTTGGGGTTTTGGGGGCTCAACGTCAAACCTCCCTAAACCCTAAACCCTAAACCCTAAATCCCAACTCTTGTGGTCCACTCAAGGCCTTGAGGCCTCGACTCCTCGTTCCCAAACCTTCAACCCTGGATGAGCCCTTGCAAAGGGTTACTATAAGGGTTCCTTTAAAGGGATCTATAAGGGTTCTATAAAGGGTTTAGGGTTTAGAGTTTCCGAAATTTAGGGTACCCTATTAAAGCCGGCTCTCCTCAGCGCCGGGCAGGGGTTTCAGAAGCTGATGGATATATATAGGCATGTTGGTAACCCAGCCGGGCATTTGGGAGTTTCCAAAAATCAGGGGTACCTTATTTTGGGGTCCTTATGATAAGGATCCTACTATTTTGGGTCCTCCTTAACTCCAAAAACTTTAGGCCTCAAAGTGTCGAGGCTTCTGAGCTTGACCATGTAAGCCTGGACCCGAGGCCTCTAAACCCTTAAGCTCTAAACCCCCAAACCCTATAATATATAAACCCTAAAGCCCTAAACCCCTAAACCCTACATCTAAACCCTAAAGCCCTAAAGCCCTAGACCCGAAACCCAACAGGATCTCGACGAGCTGCTAGCGACCATTGATTTAGATGGGGCTGGAACCTCAGAACGCCGGAGGAACATGGTTCGGATGTTCATAGGGTTTAGGGTGTAAGGGGATGTTCAAGTACCCAGAGAGCCCAATACCCCTTGAGTAAAGAGCATAATTTAAACCATAATGTATAATGTGATGGTCCATACAGCTTAAGGTATATTCCTTAACAAGGGTTTAGGGTTGAGGGGGTATTGGGCTTTCCAGGTACTTTCAGGTATTTGGGCCTAAGCCCAAGCAAGCTTTGGGTTCTCAGGGGTGAAGTTGTCAACCTGCTTACTTGGAGGGTCGGGGGACTTAATAGCTATAAGGGGTTCCTTTAGTGTTCCTCTAAAGGGATCTATAGGGATTCTATAAGGGTATAGGGTTTAGGGTTTAGAGTACTTGGAGGGTCGGAGGACTTAATAGGTAGGTAGTAAGTAGACTTATAAGTGCGCCAAAAGGGACCCTAATTGGGGTTATGGTACTTATAAGTCCCTAAAATCACCAGTTGCTAATTCCCCCGACCCTCCAAGTAAGCTTCTTGGAACTTGGGTGATGGGACCTTTGGAATAGCTCCTCGAACGCAGTTTCTTATCACCGCTACTTGTACTTGGAGGTTCATGGGTAGTTATATGTGGGGTTAGAAGTCCCCTATTATGGGGTTTAAGTAGAGTTACCCTACGGACAACCCGACGAAAAACTACCCATGAGCCTCCAAGTAGCCACAAGCAGCGCATGTTGAAGTCTGCGCCGCTCTCAGTAGCGCTTATACGAAATCGAAGCTGGGGTTTCAAAATGTCTCTGGGACATACCTGCAGCCATGTGCAAATCCGGCTCTCTATTTGGAATAAGTCAGTTTTGTTTAGTCCCAAGTCGCGCCTAATAAGAAGAAGCCGTGATTTGCATGTCGAGCCTTACTGCAGGGGCTGTGATTCTGTGAGTTAACCGGTTTCATCTGCAGCTGGGCAAGCAGACGGCTTGTCACTTGTCGCGCCTGGCAACTCCGTGCTCTCAGAGTCTCAATGATAAACCCTAAACCCTAAACCCTAAACCGTTCTGATAATGCAGTCTACCCGTGGCGGCTTCAATGATCGTGCGCAGATATAGCTCCCCAGTACTCCCCAACACGAAGGATCAACAGCTTCACCATGTAGGAAACAGCATGGAAGTTACTCCCATGCAGCGAGCATCATAAGCCCTTGAACCGTGCACCCCAAAGCCTGCAAGATCTGCAAAAAACGTTTGGGATTTCGGCCCACTTGGAGGATGCCACCATCGAGCTCGATGCTGTGCCGGCACGAAGGACAAAACCGGCAGCCACGGCAGAAGCTCGGCGAGAGCTTGACGACATCAAAGCTGTGCTTCGTTGATGCAGGTTGCTTCATGTTGTAGGTTGGCAAGCACCTTCGGGTCAGCGAAACGATCTTACTGTCACAGTTTTCAGCAGGCACTGCTGATTTCATACCAACATGACCAGCAGGGCATGGATAAAGCTGCTAAGCGAGTTAGTTTGCTAATGCATTCGACGATTCCTCAAAGATGCAGATTTCGGATCTTGTGACAGTTGATGGCTCGTAGCTGAGACGAAGGATGGACTTGGAGGTTCATGGGTAGTTATATGTAGGGTTATACGTCCCCTAATATGGGTTATAAGTACAGTTACCCGACTTACAACCCACTTATAACTACCCATCAACCTCCAAGCAGAGTTTTTTTGCGCTTGGGGAGAGCCTGAAGGATTGTCTTCTGCTTTGGAGACCCACTCGGAGACACGTGGCGAGAGGAAGTTCGGAAATCTCTGGGGCGTCTATTAGACCCACACTAATTCTTCGTGAACTGAAGTTTTGGGCAGTGCGGCCCACAAACCACGTTGTCGTCGGCCGTTTCTTCGGGGATCCCCGACCCCGAGAGAAATAGCAACACGTCTTGAAGCTACCCTTGTTTGTTTAGGGTTTAGGGTTCGGGCCGGCTGTCTAGACTTTCGGACTTAGGGTCTAGTATTCAGGATCGAAGTGTCCGGTTTAGATTTATGGGTTAGGCGATCAGGTTCCGTAATGGCTGGTGACTGGCTGCCAGGAAAAGCCGCAGAATGTTGCCATCGAGCTAGATGCCGCGCCGGCGCCAAAGAAAGCAAGAGGCAACACCAAAGTGACTTGGCCGACACATTCTTCGCGAATCTTCAAGGCCTTGGAGCTTTAGAGTAGAGGAGAGAGAACCGCACTGAATCTGTTTTTTCGATTCTGCCAGCGCTATTTTGATGCTCTTTGCTACTAGTACAGCCCCTGTCCGTCGGACATTTTGACAGCAAGCATGCAAAGGTCAGAATAGTCCAGGCACTTAGACAGTTCGGTTTTCAGGCTCCTCTACTCTAAATCTGCACAAAGCGAAAGTTTCCCGGGGCATTTGACAGGCTGGTACATGTTTCCTACACCCTAAAACCCTACCCTAAACCCCTAAACCCCTAAACCCCCCTAAACCCCCAAAGCCCCTAAACCCTTAAACCCTTAAACCCCTAAACCCCTAAACCCTAAACCCCTATACACCCCTAAACCCTAAACCCCTAAACTCCTAAACCCTAAACCCCTAAACCCCCCAAAACCCCCAAAACCCCGAAACCCTTAAACCCCGAAACCCCTAAACCCCTAAACCCTAAACCCCTAAACCCTAAACCCCTAAACCCCTAAACCCTAGACCCAAAGCCGGCCAGGAAAAAGCTCAAGATGGCGCGATAGAGTTGGATGCTGCGCCGGCACCGAAGGAAGCCGCGGGGAAAGCCGCAGCAACTGGGCATTGAGGGTTTAGAGTTTAGGGGTTTAGGGGTTTAGGGGTTTAGGGTTTAGGGGTTTAGGGTTTAGGGGTTTAGGGGTTCAGGTTTTAGGCATATTCCTTGCAAGTAATTGAGACTGGACCAGAAGGGCAATCCTTTAGTATCGCAATAGTGTTTTTGAGCCATGCGAGACTTTGAACCTAAGTCTGCATAGGCCCTTATGATTCACCAATATCATTCCACAAGGGCCCTATTTATTGTAGCTAGAGGCTTAGAGTCCTAGAGCTTTGACAAACCCACAAGCCCTGTTCTAATTATTCAGGCCGTTAAATTATGGTTCCTATACAGCTACGTCTTCATCAAACACACATTATACGGGCCCCAAAGCCACAACCCAGTTTCTAACCGATTCCACAATTGCCACACTTGGTCGAAAGGTCGTTTGTCCGATTCCCAGAGCTTGGGAACGAACGTTGTTGACAGTTTAGGGTTTGCTTTGTCATCGTTGGGTAACATTTTACATGTTTACGAATAGACATTTGCATTTCTTAACAGTATCCGAGCCATGGACAGGTTTAGGGTTTGGGTCCCTGCCTTTTGCCAGGCGAGTCCACCGGACGTTGCCATCGAGCTGGATGCTGCGCCGGCACCAGCAGAAACAGCAAAGGACATGACAACTTGAGAACTCCGCGAGAAGTTAGATGTTTGTGGGTTCTGCTCGACATTTCTCGCATGCTGTTCAAAGCCTTCCTATTCCTAGGAGGGGTAGAGTTCTTGAGAGACTCAGGGTCACCCTCCCTGGTGCCTCTACTTTTTGGGGGGAAGTTTAGGGGTTTGGGGGTCGGTCGTGTTGGTCACGATGAGTCTAGAAGTGGACCAGTTTTCGCCAGGAGCAAGCGAAGGTTGCCACATCGCAGGATGCTGCACCTGTGGAGACGAAAACAGCGGACAACTCTGTTGTAACTTGGCAGATATGTAGGGTTTAGGGTGTAGGGTGCCCTACTCAAAGGGTGAAAGTAGTTCCTTTTTGGGGTTCATTACTAGAATCCTATAAGGAAATCCCAAAAAGGAACTACTATGGGGCCTCTGGGTAAGCCCGTAACCCTTAAACACTAAAGCCGATGTGGTGATTCCATCTGAGTTTGAGGCTATGAGCTTCAAGGCAAGGGTTTTCACTTCCCTCGTGCTGCATGAACCAACGAGGGGTCTCCGATGTGTTCAGTGTTTAAGGTTTAGGGGGGTAGCTGGGGTCGGCACCTGCGCGAATTCGAGCGGACAGTTTGACAAAACTCGCACCAGTGTTTCTAAGTTTGCCAAGCTCGGTTTAGGGTTTAGGGTTCCATCTCTGTCTCGTTCTGGTCTGTCCAAAGGCTCGCAGTTGTGCGTGCCCCTCGACCTGTGTCTGGCTTTCCGTTCTTTGCCATCCGTGGCTGCGTATTCTGTCCGGACACCTCACTGGGTACAGGCTTTAGGGGTTTAGGGTTTATATTAAGTTTGGGGTTTTAGGGGTTTAGGGCTTGGGTTGCAATCCGGAATCTTCACTCTGTGATGCTGTCAAGGACAAGCCGCCGGAAGCTGCCAATTTGCCGACTGCTGCGCCGGTACCGAAGGAACCGGCAGACACGACCATAGCAACTTGGCAGAACAACCCAAAACCCTGGCGCAACACCCCAAAACTCGCAAAGACTCTCAAGCCTAATTCTTCGAGGATTCACTGGGCATGAGTTAAATTGCCGACAACCGCATGATGAACCAATCGATGTTGCAGTTTCGAACCCCTTTTGGATGGAATTTTCCCAAGCGCTGCCTGCAAGAGAACAACATGTTTTGGCAAAACTTGCCTGCCGGCCCGGTCACGTGACTGACGAAGACTGAAGTATCGAGTTCACCCTAAACCCTAAAGGTGCGAGACTTTGGTAAGTTAGCCTTCGATCCCAGTGCTTCTTCCTTCCCTTGCTGGGTGATTCAGTGGCTCTTTGCACAGCCGTTTGCATTGGCCTCAAAACCCTAAACTGGCCCTAGACCCTGCACCCTGCACTTTAAACGCTAAAAATCCAAATCCCTGACATCTTTTGGAGAGATAGGGTTGTCCTAGAGAGTTTAGTGTTTTTCGGCCCAGGGCTTCTAGGGTTTTGGGTTGTGCAGTTTAGCCTTTAGGGGTTCACGGTTTATGGTTTAGGGTAGCGTTGACGTTGTGACTTCATTGTGAGCAAGGAGCAGCAGAAGGAGGCTGCCACGACCCAGGATGCTGCGCCTCTGCCGAAGGAAGCAGCAAGCAACATTGTGGCGACTTGGCATAAGTCAAGAGGGAATTTGCGGATATCAGTTGACTCTGAGATTCTGAACTTCATGAGATTCTGAACTCCATCAGATTCTTAACTTCATGAGCTCGTCAAAAATACGGGGTTTTGATCCCACTGCCCCCCAAGGTCTTTTTGCGATGATTGGCACCGCTATTGCTGAACCCTAAACCTCTAAGCCCCAAACCCTAAGCTACATTCTACATTCCGCTTGGTGACCTGATTTTTCAAACCTTCCGAAAGAGCAGGTAATGCTGCCCTTTACGCTTGATCCCTCCGGTCCGGTTACTACCGCACCATGTACAATGGTCTAGCATTGTATACCATGTTACACATTGTCCAATGAAACTTAACTCAGTATAATCTATTGTGAGGCCGTGCCGGGTTGTACGGTCGACAGTCCCCAAGGATATTCTATCGACCTCAAAAAGTTAAACCCTGTGCTGCTCAGGAGCAGTCAGCAGATGCTGTCACCCAGCTGGATGCTGCGCAGAAGCCGACGGAAGCAGCAGGTAGCAACTCAGCACCTTGGCATCTGTTAGAAAATCCTAAAACCTAGACTCCTAAGGTCCAAACCCTAAACCCGAAACTCCTGCAGTTCGAGAAGGGCCGAATAAAAAAAATCCTAAGCCCCCAGCTTTGTATTTGGAACAAGCGCATTTGAGGCTGCAGCACCAAGCCCGCACCAGAGCTAGAACCCTAGTCGGGGTTGACTTGAAAGTAACTCCTAAATGGGTGGTTGTCAAAATTATGGTCCCTTTTTGGGTACCCTAAATATTAGGTGCCGTATTATAATCAGGACCCACAAAGGGACCCTAACTTTGACAACCACCTAAATCTGACAAGCCCGGAGCCCTTGATACAATTTGAATGTCCGTGTGTGTATGTGTATACATATGTAAATATAGATAGACAGCTAACTAACCAAGCAGCATTAACCAACTAGCTAGCTAGTAACTAAGTGACTGGCCCCAGAACGAGGTAACTAAGTGAGTAAGTAAGCAATTAAATAGGTAAATACTTAAGTAAGTCACATTAAGTAACTAAGTAGCCGACTGACTGACTGACTGACCAACGAACAAATTAACGAACTAACTAACTAATTATGATTTTGATGATTGTTGGAGGATAGGTCGGTAATGCCCGCCTCAAGGGCTAACTTCTGGGTGCAGGGACCCGTGACATGAATAGGGCTTTCGGGGTACTATCAGGGCCTTAGGGTTTAGGGTTTTGGGTTTTGGGTTCAGGGTTTAGGGTTCAGGGTTTAGGGTTTAGGGTTTTACTATTTGGAATAGGGTTTTGGAGCCCATTATACTATAATTGTAGTAAGGGCCTCGCAGAATAGTCTAGGTAATTGTATCTGGACGCCGTAAGCCCTAAACCCTAAATCCTGTTTGGAGGTTCATGGGTAGTTATAAGCAGGGTTATAAGTCCCTTAACACGGGTTATACTTATATTTATCCTACTTATAACCCCACTTATAACTACCCATGAACCTCCAAGTGTGTGCGTCTTCTGCCTGAAAGGACGGTGCAGCAGCTGCGGCACCGCCACCAGCGGCACCAAACACGGTGTGCCCGGCAGAGGCATGCTGTTCTCTTCTTTCTTGCATGCGTTTGTTCTGCGTTGGAGTCGCGGCTTGAGAGTGGCTTGAGGGTACTTGCATGGAGATTGTGGTTTTTGCAAGTCCAGCTTAAAGATGCTGCCTACTGCGACTGCTGCCGTTGCTCCTCCTCCTCACGCGATGACGACTACTGCACCGTTACGATTGCATGAGATGCTTTGATGGGCGCTATTGCTACCAATGGCTTTTGAGTGCGGCGATATTCCGAAGCCATGGAGTAGAGTAAGTATCACTCACCTCTTACATACTTTTGATTTCACTGACAGCGTGACGAAGGATGAGTGGCCTATAATTACAGCGACAGATGGTCCACCTGAACTGAACACTCATCCAAACCCCCGGCCCCAACCTCCACGGCTCAGGGATTCTAGGACCCTACAACTCAAAGCGCATTAGCCCTGAACCTTCCCTAAACCCTAAGCCTTCCCTCTGAAAAAACCTTCCCTAAACCCAAGCCCTCAACCCGTAACCTGAACCCTAAACCTAAATCCTAAAGTCCTAAACCTTCCGCAAGCAGCAAACGAGGATGGTGCGAAGGCGGCGGCGCTGCCGCCAGTGGAGCCGAAAACGGTGCGATGGGAATAGTTCATGGCTCACGGTTTGTTGCAGGGTTGAGGGTTTGTGGTTTACGATCCGTCAGGATTTGGGTGGGGAGGCTTCAGGAAGGTCAACAGCTGATCCAACAGCTCGATTGTTTCTAGTTTACCAGCGTTTGGTGTGCTCACGGCATGCTTAAGAGCTACAGCGTGCTTTTGATGTCAGGTTCATACACCTTGCACCGTTTTGCATGCAGAGTCGTGGTTTGGTGCAGGGTCGAGAGTTAAGGATAAGCGGACATGCATGGCACGGACAGAGGACGTCGCCATAGACATTGATCTCGACGATGCGCCAGCGCCGTCGAAGACACTGGCGACACCAGCAGAGACTTCGCTGAAGTTTGATCCGCATGTGTCCGTGAAGGCCTCTCGCTACTTCCACTTGGAGGTTCATGCTTAGGCATAACGGAGGGTGTAAGTCCCCCAACACAACGAGTTGTAATTTTGAGTTCTCTACGTAGAACTCCCACTTACAACTGCCCATGAACCTTCAAGTATGCTGAAGCCGGACTAGAAGCGCTACTACTTCTTTTATGTCCCCGGAGCCGAGATGGCGCGCAGACGCAAACGAGCACACAGCTTCCCCAGAAGCTCCAAAACCCTTTAATTAAGGATTATACTTTAAAATCAGAATAGGAGCCCTATTCTGATTTAAGGGCCCTTTGAGGCCTAAGTACCCTTATTTTCATTAAGGATTATACCTTTAAATAATAATAGGAACCCTATTACTACGTGGGTACATGGAGCCTTAGGGTTGATGGGCCCTTGCAGGTCCTGAAACTTCGACCCCCAAGCCGTAGCCCAGACATCCTAAGACTCCTTTAGTTGAGGAGTATGCCTAAAACTGTAGGGGCCCTTATATATGGTGTAAGTGTAAGGTATATTCCTTAACTAAGAAGTATACCTAAAATTATAGGGCCTATAAGGCAACAAATACTATGGTGTATGGTGTATATCCTTTACTAAGGGCTATTGGGCCCTCTGGTAGTATGACCCTGCTTGGAGGTTCATGGGTAGTTACAAGTGGGGTTAGAAGTAGGGTAACTATACTTATAACTCATATTGGGGACTTATAACCCTACTTATAACTAGTCCTAAACCCTATAATCCTACTATACCCTAAACCCTATAGAACCCTTAAAGGGAACCCCACTTATAACTACCCATGAATCTGCAAGTGGAGCCCTGTAAAGCCGCCGAGGATGCCAAGGCGGCAGCGCTGCCGCCAGCGAAGCGGAAGGTGCTGCCCTGGGTAAGATGCAATATAGGGGCCTTTAACCTTTAATGGCTTGGGGTTTAGGGTCTAGGGAATTACGCATGCACGATTTTGGAGGTTACTTATTATAACCATAGTAGAATGGGCCCCAAACCCTATTCTAGTTACTAAGACCCCCATACCAGGGTTTTCGACTCTTCTACAGGGCACTGCCGGGTTTACATGGGTTTCCTGGGATGGGAATATTTAGGGTTTGCGGAGTTATATAAACAGCTCGGATTCCGAGAGCGTCTTAGATTTCAGAGAATGTCTAGAGCGGGCTTCATGCTGTTGCGCATTCTCCACTGTTCAAGTGCGATGACATGCATTTGGTTGTGACTCCCGACTCTTGCATCTAGGGAGGGTCTATAGAAGTTTTCAAAACCCTGATCTCGCGCGGCACATGTCTCGCGGGAGGGTTCAGAAGAGAGTACAACAGGCATGGCATTGGGACGTCCATGTCCCTAAACCACAAAAACGAAGCCTTGTAGAACGTTGACAGGACACCGCCATAGACATTGATCTCGACGATGCGCCTGCGCCGACAAAGACGGGGGCGACACCAGCAGAGACTCAAATGCAATTCGGTCTGCAGTTTTCACCAAGGCACCGACTGGCTTAGGAGCTTAGGATTTGGGGGTTTGGGTTCACCGAAGGCCCAAACCACCCGCGTTTTCTACTTCTGCAAACAAGAGGACGGATTTAGGTCGCGGATTCTACCCTCTGAGGAGCCCAGAAGCCCGAGCCCAAGTCTGAATACCAGCCTAAATGCCGCGACTGTAGACTTCAAGCTTTACGCCCCTAGCTTATGATGTGAGTGAGAATACTACTTTGTTTGACACTTATTGTAGACCTTACCGACATGATTACTATGATAAGATGTGTTTCGAAATTTCACCTGATGCCCCCTCCACGCTCCAGGATGGCGCCAAGGCGGCGGCGCTGCCGCCAGCGGAGCCCAAGGCGGCGGTGCGCTGGTTAAGGTTTTATGATTGCATGGTTCCTGTCAATGTTGACAGCACAGGCTTTCAAGAGTTTGTTATGTCTTCGAGTATGTTTAGGCTGGGTTTCGAGCTCAGGACGTGACGTTTAACTTCTACGTTGCAAAGCTCGGCTTTGCTGTTTGTATGGCTTTCGGAATGGAGTTTGCAGGCGAGGTGCATGAATGTGCCGGCTGGCACCGGCTTAGCACTTGGTTAGCAGTCAGAGATGCGTCGATTCGAGTGCTTTAGCATGTTGGGCCCCTTGAACAGGCAATCCTCACGTACTTGCGTGGATCCTCCTTAGGGTTTTGTTCGTGGGGCTTGAGGTTTTTCGGTCATGTCCTGTTTCCAAGGCGTCGACTCGGGGACATCAAAACATTCAAATTCCCTCCGTGACACAAGCCGAACATGACACGCTGTCTTTTTCTGACAGGACTCAGACCCTAAACCCTAAAACTCCAAGTCCTCAACCCCTACTCCTAAGCCCTAAAACCCGTATATAATCCCTAACCCCTAAAACCCTAAACCCCTAGACCCTAAACCCCTCTTTAAACCCTGCACCTTTAAGCCCTATAACCCTTAAAACCCTAAACCCAACCTGACAGGATGTCACCATAGACATTGATCTCGACGATGCGCCTGCGCCGACGAAGGTGCTGGCCGGTCCAGCAGAGGCTTCGATGAAGTTTGCATGAGTGGACCTATCATAAGGGTTTAGGGTTTTGGGATTAAAGTTCTTTAATGCCATAAAGTAAGGGTTCTATAAGGGTTCAGGGATTCAGGTTCTCTAGGCTTCCATCTTAAGGCTTCTATGAGCGTTCTAGAAGGGTTTAGGGCCTATCTATAGTCTCCACTGTAGTTCCGCTTTCTGGTTACCCAACACTGTATGCTAGTATCCTAACCACAAAACTGATTAACCCCAAACAGAACTACCATGGAGACCATACGCATTAATGGAGCCTGGGACCGCGGGTTTCAACAGGGCACTAGCCAAGCTCCGCTTCCTGCAGAGTAAACCAGGTCACATTGCCCACACTACGAACTAGCTCAAAACCTCTACCCAGATGCCCCATACATAGTAGTTCCTTTTTGGGATTACCTCCATAGGATTCTGTGTATAATATGAATCGCAAAAAGGAACTACTTCGGGGCCTTTGGGTAGTCTCTAGCACGCAGCATCAAAGCGTAAGGCACTTCACCCGAAGCCCTCAACCCTGATTAAGTCTCACTAGTCGCAAGGACTTTGGTTGAATCCTGTGCCGTTCCTCTCACAGGGAGAAGTGCTTAGAGACTTGCCGCTTCGCGACTCGTGTACGGCCTGGATATGCTGCATTTCACGATGACTCTCATTACGGGGCAACTACTCCTCAGCCGTATGTGTGTTTTCGTTTTGATGATTGATTCAAGTGTAGTACTTTGTTCCGTGCCTGTTAGCGCAATGTAATTTCGGAATTACGGTTCTAGTGATTGACATGCTCCGTCGGACCGTTACTGTTACATAATTGGGCACTTAAACTTCTGACGACATTGATGATGACGACGACGATCATCAAGGGTCGGTTCTGATTGCTCTTACGGTGCTGGGTCATCATACTGTTTGTGAACATGTGGATGACAATCAAGAGGACATTCTGGCCACAGAACGTAGTGTTGGATGCCCTCTGCCAGCCGTAAACCTCAATTCCTAAATCGTCAAGTTTAGTTCGCAGACCCCAAGCCTTAAACTGTAAACCCTAACCCCTCAATCTGTAAATACGTGAAGATAAAAAGGATCAATGCAATCTGAGAGGCAATGTCTGAAGTCCTTAGAAGAACCTTCCTATGACAATCCTGAAAGAACAACCCTCGCCACTACGTGACCTGAGGCCTAAGCCCCATCGACGCCTTTTTTGAACCAAAAACAGCCTCAGCGATCCACGGTTCCTGGGCACGGCAGACAAGGTCTCGTAGACCTGCCACACCTCCGCAGGCTGTGCGACGGGTGAAGCTTACGCACTCCCCCTTTTCACCTATCCTTCCAAAGGGTGGGTGAAAAACATTAGGAAGCAACACAAGCCTAAGGAAAAGATTCTTGAACACCCTCTGTACCCGCACCCTTCGGCTGACCACTACGGGACAAAAGCCAGATCGAAAGTGAGTCCCATTCCGAACGCCCATCTCGACAGTGTTTGGGCGGCCTTCTTCAAAGGCACTCGTCAAACCGGACTCCTGGCATCCCTTTAAACACTAACGACCCCCCCAGGAAGACACCGAGTACCAAATTCTAAAATCTCACTACATGAGGATAGAATTCTAAAAGGAACCGACGCTGCTGGCCGGTCGGTAGCCGTATGCCCTCCCGGTGGAGTCCTGACTGCTAACGGTTCGTAGGCTTAAAAGCGGGAGGGCATCCTCTCCTCCAGAAAGGGCCACAATCCCCTCTTTACCACTCTGCCTGACGACGGGCTAGTCGGAGCTTGAATCAGACACCAATCCACTCTCAACCCTCTCGAGATAGTCCCCAACCAACCAATGGAACTCCGACTTTACCCTTTCAGGATAAGGCTCAACATCAAGTTGCAGTCCCGCTCTCCACAAACAATACAATACTCGACCCCGGTAAGGAACACCCTCACCCAATGGTAACGCGACTACCCCTTGAGAGCTTGTTTGACAAGCGGCAGTAGCTTGGGACCTCTTACGTTTCACAACACAAGCTACCGCAAGCCGTCCAACTTCCCAGGTCAGAACAATAAAGAAGCATCGCCCCACTTCCCAAAGGGTTGATCCATCACACCTAACAACCCATTCTTCACAAGGTAAGTCCGCATCCAGAGCCCGGGGTCTAATCTGCAATGCCTGCTCAATGTCAGCTGCTACACACTGATCTAGAAGTGGGTCCCGAGGCTCATCCGAAGTCGCAGAAACCGCCTTAATGCAACCACACCAAAGCCAAACTACCCACAATAGCCAAACCCTAAGGTACCTACCCAATCTCCAACACACCGGCACGCTGGCACTCCGCCGATACCGAGGCACATCAGAGCTTCCACTAGGTAACTCGTCGGGCTCAACTATACTCACAGGCACTGCTTGATGGAACTCAGTCCAATCACCCGTTTGCAGACCCCGAACAATCGCTCGCACTTGCTCCGCGCTCCAACCTGGAAGAGGCACCGCCCAAGTATCATCCCCGTAGGTACACCTCAAAGAGCCCTCTTCTGCCGAGTACAGCGTCTGATTTAGGGGTTCCACAGTTCGATCAACCTCTGCCTCAATGCCGCTCGGAAGCCCCAAACTGCCTATCCCCAGACTGCTCTCACTTCTAGAGCTCACCGAATCAACAGAAGGCTCATCGGTGGATTCCCCATCCTCCTCCTCGGAAGACGAAGAATCAAACAGCGCACGGGCTATCGGCACTAACCGCACGGCAGGGCCCGGCTGAGGAGGATCTAAAGGCCTCTCATCTAACTCCGGATCGTCATCGAGATCTCCATCGCCTAAGTCCAACTGGGCCCTACCCGGCTCTGCTTCCGCGAAAGGAAAGCGGATCTCTCCACTCCGCCAGTAAGCTTCAGCAGCATCAAAAGTGGCACTCGTATTAGCGATATACAACTGATGAGCCCTACGCAACCATACCGCCAAAGCCATAGTAGAGCTGCTTCTGAAGCTCGAGGCAGTTGCACGCAAGCATCCGTGGGATCTCATCCGGTTGCCAAGGTAATCCAACACACGCCATCCCGTCAACATAAGCACACTCCACAAGTAATGAACGCAAACCCCTGGAGCCCACAGTGTATGCGGAAAGACAATCGGCACTTCCGGAAATCTCTCAGGTTCTGGGGTCACAGGACCACCTCCCGTATTCCCATAAAGCAAGAACTCCTCTACCGACTCGAACCACCTAGGACCCTCATACTGCAACGCATTGGGACCCTGTCGTAGATAGTCCGCAAGGGCTCCGCAAAGCCCAAGTCTCACCGCACTCGAGGTGACACGCACATTCAGCCAGCTACGCGCCCTTACACCTAGAAAAGACAAAAGCACGCATCCCACTGCCGAAAACAACTGCAGAAGATAATGAACTTTAATCCACGATCCCACTAAAGGCCAATCATCCAGCGATCCTTCTTCCGAAACGTAGTCCTCGTAATACAGCCCTGTCTGCTCGAAGGCCGGAACCTGCATCCCGTGGGAAGAAGAACTACCACCTCCCTGAGTCTCAAACCCAATTTCGGCAAGGCACTCCTCGGCTTCCTCATCAACTCTAGAGCCTCTAAGACTGCCTCTATGCAGGCCACTAGAACCCCCGGCACCTGAAGGCTCAGAACTCCCCCGGATCTGACCATTGGAATCCCCTGAACCTGAAGGCGCGGAACTCCCCCGGATCTGACCACTGGAATCCCCTGAACCTGAAGGCGCGGAACTCCCCCGGATCTGACCACTGGAATCCCCTGAACCTGAAGGCGCTGAACTCCCCCCTTCTGGGACATTCACCAGGGTTGGTCTCCAACCTCCCCCAAGTCCCTGAAACGCAAAGGTGACCTCAGCCTGGCCAGGAAAATCCCCAACATACAAACCAGTATCCCTGCACTGCCGCAACAAACTCACCGTTGCATCCCGACGGAACGCTCTGGCCGCTCCACTCAGCGCAATCCATTCTCTGGTTTGATATCCGATCAGCAAAACTAGTTCTGTACCCCTCAAACTAACCAAACTCAACAGCCACTCCGCACAGTCAAGGTTACTCCTATCCGAGAAAACCTCACCCTGAGTTCCAGCACCAGCAGTAGGAGCAGGCACAGAAAGCCCTGAATTTGACCCGTCCGAAGCTGAAGGCTCTTCTTCTCCCGTAAACCACCCTGGAGGGGGGCCGAACCTTTGGAGGAAATTAGGGGGCTCTAGTACCCCTCCTGCTTCCAAAACTCTCCTCACCCTGGCCCTCTGCACAAAGGTCAACCCTGAATCTCGTTCGGCCGCTTCCAATTTTGCCTGTGCTGCTGCCCACTCAGCATCAGAAAACACATCATCAGCCGGATCGGGCTCACCAAGACATTGTTCAGAGGAGCTAGGACCAGGAGGAACAGGGATCTCATCAGCACCACCCACAGACTCGTCAGCCTCGGGCCTTATCTCCTCAAGCTCCGGAACCTCCAACGAACCCTCAGACTCGCCGTTAGCTACCAGCCCTGCTTCACCCTCCAAAGGTCCAACAAACCCTTCAGTTCCCAAGTCCCACTCAAGACCTAAGAACCACCAGCCCCACAGAGCCGTTGAAGCCAGCACCAAAACCCCAACGACCCACAGAAGCCATTCCCTGACAATCCCAACTGGATCATCCAACGGTTGGCCCTTCGCACAGGGTAGCATAGCCAAGAGTGCCAGACCTGCCAAGGTTTTGGCTAAATCATTTACCGAAGGACCCTCCTCAATGCACAAACGACTAAGCACTCTAGCTGTTCTCACGGAATCCTCGGGAACCACTCTTATTCTTATATTAATGAGGTCTAGAAGCCTAAGGATACGGGGTCGGGTAAGTGGTTTGGTTCCGACGTCCGCCACCAACTGCTCGCCCGGCATATGGGACACCCTCAAAACGTTGGAAGAGATTCGCTCTCGGGCAGCATGTGCCCTCATTCTCAGGTGTCTATTACGCCAGCCGCTTGGCGACATTTCAAAGCTGCGAAGAGCT